GAGGATGTAATTTTATGAGTTGTAATTTAACTCTATTTCTATCTACAGAAATATCGAGGATGTAATTTTATGAGTTGTAATTTAACTCTATTTCTATCTACAGAAATATCGAGGATGTAATTTTATGAGTTGTAATTTAACTCTATTTCTATCTACAGAAATATCGAGGATGTAATTTTATGAGTTGTAATTTAACTCTATTTCTATCTACAGAAATATCGAGGATGTAATTTTATGAGTTGTAATTTAACTCTATTTCTATCTACAGAAATATCGAGGATGTAATTTTATGAGTTGTAATTTAACTCTATTTCTATCTACAGAAATATCGAGGATGTAATTTTATGAGTTGTAATTTAACTCTATTTCTATCTACAGAAATATCGAGGATGTAATTTTATGAGTTGTAATTTTTTCCCCTTTTCTTTTTGAGGACACTCCCTTTTTTAGAGTTTGCTGGAACATATTAGCGGAAAATAAAATATAAATATTTTTTTTCTTCAATATTTTTAAACATAAATATACATTTACATTGTACAGTAATCTCTCATATATAGAACTAACTACCCCAAAGCCAACAAACTCAATACTAATGAACATTTTTAACTTAAATGTGAATCTGTCATGTTAAAACAGTAAATATATACAGAGGTAACCAGAAAACTCTGAAATAGGATGACGACTTTATAGCAATAAGTGTATTTTATGTTGTTACAAGGAAAAACGTTTTACCAGACACTTATTAAAATCACTAATTATGTGAAATGGCCCTGTTTACACTGCACAGTGCACAATTGCTGTGTCCCATGTACATTGGACTATTCAAAGTCATAACTTGAGTCTAAGAGTCGTCATCTCATTTTAGATTTTTCTGGTCATCTCTGAAAGCATACGAATAGGATATTAGATAACAGCAATGAAATGAGTATAAAAGTAAATGTCTGAAGTGTGAGTGCATATAACTCTCTATATATTTACGTAAATGTGTGTACTTTGCCCGGCCCGGCTGCTGTAGCCAGGTAGGTGGCCGGGGAATAGCTGGGCTAGGATCCCTTAAAAGGACTTTTCTGAGCTTAGTTTGCATTTTACAGGCAAGGATGTGTGTAAACACTATACGGCCGGTATCTGAATTTTATGAATTTAAGACACGTCTCAAATCCTCTAAAAACCGGTTTTAATTGACCGCCGGCTTAAATCTTGAAAAATTTAATAAAAACTTTAGTGGAACCAACCATATTTGAGCCGCGGCTTAGATTTAAACCGCAGCTTAAATTCTTTAAATTTGGCCGCCTCGGTTTATATATGTACCAATGTGTTTACAGGGAATATTTTGTAATATTTAGTCAACTTTTTAACGTTTTATTAAAATCCCAACGGTACTTCATCTTTCTATTTGATTATCTTTAACTGTGGTTTCTCTGTAAAAGTGACTTGCACAAACAATTCAAAAATAAAACACTGTTTTAGAAAGATAAAACGATAATATTTTTCTCATAGTTACTCAGAAAGATATTTAAAGGGCGCCGCAGTAAATCTTGAAACAATGAAGATCATTTGAAATTACGTCTGCAGTACCTTTAAATGTAAAATACGGTGGTAAGCGATTATATCACTACAATGAAGACGACATTCTTAATTAAGTATAAATGTGAACAAGCTTTTTTTCGAATAACAAGTTTGCATGTAATCAAAGAGAAGCTTTTTTAAATGATAAATTTTCTTGATTTCTGGGTTTTTGTGGATTCATGCTGTTTAACAGCGTAATTTAAATCAAAATTGAATTCGAAAGTTGTCTTCATTGTATTGGTATAAATGCCTACCACTAAATGCGACTGCAATAAATTATCATACGAGTATACTGGCAAAATAAGGATATTTTTTTTAAATTTTAAACATTTTTAACGTGCAATATTTTGAAAGATAAAAATTAGATACACATATTTTTCAGTATTTATACGTTAAAAAATAGAAACATTTTAAAGTTAATTTTGCAACATTATAAATCATTAAAAACTGCCATTTTTCAGAAAATACTAGAAATATCATCATATAGAGGAAAAACATGTCTCGTACGGTTGCCTTTGGTAGAGATGTGCTAGGGGCACCAGATGTTGATATAGAGGTATTAGGATCATATATGCAAAAAACCCACACACACACTCACACACATGTCCAGTTTTTCATTCAGTCTAATATCCATCCTGATATCCTGATAGCTGATTNGGGCAACCAACCTGGAGATTCAAGGATTCTTTCTTTAAAATCAAATGCTCTCAGCTTTGTCTGGTATTGGAGGCTTTAGGAGCTGCCAAGGACGGATATCAGAACAATATGAAAATCTTGTATATTGTTCTGATATCCTTCCTTGCAGTCAGCTCCTAAAGCCTCCAATACCAGACAAAGCTGAGAGAAAACCATCCTCTACAATATCCTGATATCCTGATATCTGATATCCTGATATCCTGATATCCTGATATCCTGATATCCTAATATCCTNTCCTGATATCTGATATCCGGATATATGATATTGTAGACGATGGGTTTTCTCTGTAAATCAAAACTAGTAATCCTCGAAATAATGATATAAAATACGGGAGAGGAACGATGAACCTAAGAAAATCCAGTAGTTCTCCAACCTGCATCGGATCAACATGTTCTCCTGCATAGTAGTTTATTACCTACAAATATATTGGTTCTTACTCTCTAAATTGGTGAACCCGAATAAGAACAATGGCTGAGGTTCTAGTGGACAATATTCAATCAATAGATCTTAAACTACCACAGTTCTGGGCCGATGGAGCTAAAATTTGGTTCGCACAAGCCGAATCCTAGTTATTAATATTACCAGTGAACTAACCAAATATAGGCACGGAGATACACAGGAAGCAGACCGAGATCTGTTCAAACGTATTCCGTTTGAAGAAAGAGTAAGGCAAGAACATGTTGGCGGCCTACACCCGTTCTTCAAACGGAATACGTTAGAACAGATCTCGGTCTGCTTCCCGTGTATCTCCGTCCCTGCTGTCATCCAAACCTAAACAGTTCAGTCGGAGCAAATCTCCGGCTAGATCTAAAACCCCATCTAGGATTGGAGTTCCAGAGGTTTACAAGAGTAATCAGACCGGAGTAGACAGATTTATTCCTAACCGCAGTAAAACGGACATGGAGTTTGCATCTCACAGCCTTCCATGTCGGTTGTACTGCGGTTAGGAATAAATCCTCCACCCATCTCTGCTGGGGTACTTAAAAACCAGGATATGCTGGGGTGGGGGGTCTATTTGTATCCTGATATCCTGATATCCTGATATCCTGATATCTTATATCCTGATATCTTATATACTGAGTTTACGTTATCTTTATTTGTCCAATTATTTATTGGAAAAATAATAATGCGAAATATGACAGTAGCAAGACTAATTGAAAGTCGTCTTTAATATTAAAAAAAATGTGTGGCATTCTAATTTTAGTTAATAATTCGAAAGTTAATAATCACAAAATACCCTTAAAATCTTGACATTTCCAATATGTGGTCTGCCTAATCATAAATGTTGAAGTAGGTTGACGACTGAATGTCACAAATAAATTCAAAGTTCTTTCAAGTCGTCTTGCTACTGTCATATTTCGTGGGACACCCTGTACCTAGTATACCTCGTGGGACACCCTGTACCTAGTATACCTCGTGGGACACCCTGTACCAAGTATACCTCGTATTCTTCTGAGGAATCATTCGGTTAATCTTGAAACTACAGAATGAGACTTCAGAGACGACTGTACAGAATTAATTCCATTCTTTTTCTTGAGTTTCTGGCTCCCTGCAGATGTACATCTGTTTTCGCTCTTTGTCAAATCATTTAATTTATCATTAACAGATATTTGTTAAGGCAATAGCCCAAGTTTAACTACACAGATCGTTAGATTTAAAGAGCTTTAGGTCGTCATTGAACTCTCGTCCTTTGTGGGGTACCCTGTAATATTCAGGACCTACTTGCCTGCCTCTCCCCCTCCGAGGTTCAAGCTTTATTGGACGAGCTGGCCAGTGATCCAGACGATAAACATGTTCCAGCCAGTGTCAGGTATATGAGGGAGGGACACCACGGCCGCTATGAGCCTCCTCACTTGTCACACAGCACCGTGAGTCTTAATTTAAATGTTACAACAAAAGAAACTAAATTTCACTTAGGATTATTTTAAAATGTCGTTCTTTCTGCGTTAGAAATGTTTTATGTTTTATTATAAAATCCGTACTTTAAAATAGTATAAAAGACGCTCGGTACAGTAGAAAAATGTGGAAGGCTCATTACGTTTAGGGTGTCTCTCCCTTAATTTATCTTAGTCAATCTGAATGCAAAAACTAGTAAAAAGTGAAAAAAAGAATTGGAAAAAAATCTTGTGAAATGTTCAACTTTTTGTTTAGAACTTCCTACAGATGCGAGAAGAACCCTACGGGAGATCTAGACAGGGAGATAAATAAATATCTAATATTTAACCCCATATTCTAGAAATATAGATGCTAAGAAGGGGTTTAGAGGGACTGCAAGCGTAAATTCATGACTGACCCTCTAACCAAAGATGGCAATGCCCCATTTTCAAATTCTTTCCGGTGAACTGCCGCACCGGTTCAAACCTTGAACCACCGATTCAAAGTTCAAGATTTATGAAGATTTGAATCGGTGACTCTTGATTTGAACCGGCGGTAGGTAGTCAGTGACCTCGCCAATTCATCTTGCACCTTTGACTTCAAAACTATGATTTCTTCTAGATTATTAGAGTTTAAGGCAAGCAATCTATGTCCGCATTTTATGAATTTAAGCAAAGTCTCATATCCCCTAAAACCGGTTTCAATTGAGAGCCGACTTAAACCTTGAAAAATTGAAAACAAGTTTTAAGTTCCAGTCATATTTGAGCCCCAGATTAAATTTAAGCATGGCTTAAATCTAAGCCGCGGCTTAAATTCTTTAAACTCAGCCTCAGATTAATTACCTATCTTTTGATCCAGGTAAAACTATATCATTTATTTTCAAATTGTTGAAGAGGGTCCCTGATTACATACATCAAAGGGGAGGCTGTAAAACATCCAGATAAGTAAGTTTTTTGTTTGTTTATTGTATCAAATTCTGATTCGCAATTTTTTCCCCAAATTTTCCCAAATTCGGATAAATTTCCTACTCTCATATAATATTTAAAACTTTTAATTGTTTTAGAGAAGAAGAAGTAAAGTTTGAGCTTGGGTTTAAACGAGGAAAAGTTTATGAGCCAAAGTATACTCAAGAGGAATTGGGTGAATATTTTTTATAAAAAATCTATTATTAAGTTCGAACATTCTTCTTTATCGGGATTTGTACTTTTTCGAGTTTATTAGAGAACAAAATTTTACTAATTTCATAAAGTTTTATTTAATTTTCTCAACTTATTTAAAAGTATGCCGTTAAAGATACTTAATCGCCCTGTTGTAAGGCAATAATGTACGTTAAATTTTGAATTTTATAGCAGGTCGATAAAGGTACTTTATCGCCCTTCAACGGGAAGTTGGTGTGATAAATTCCCTCAAAATTAAATTTTTTATTTGAGAAATAACTTGCCTCGGAAAACTAATATTAACAAAACAAAATATATGCTTTCTTTTGCGTACTGAGTGGAAATCATATTCTATGTAGTATGTAAATCAAGTTCAAAGGATTTTATATTTTTTTATTAATTTTAGATTTGATGAAGAGAGAAGCAGATATTGCTGAAAAGGTATATACTTTTACTTAAATATTTAAATCTTTGATGAAAGTGGGTCTAAATAAAGATTTATTTTAAAGAGCAAATCTATTGAAATCATGACAATTCCTTTCCTATCTGTGCAATGTTTGGTAGCATTCAGTGATTCCCATAAAACTATGGAATACAACGAGTATATTTGTAAATTGTCTTATACAAGACAATTGTAGGACAAGACAATTGTAGGACAAGATAATTGTAGGACAAGACAATTATGTATTTTTTTCACGACTTCAATTCCCTTAAAAAGTGGATTTTCAAGTTAATGCAGTAAAATTTTTGATTCTAATTATACATAAAACACACTTAAAGATTGCTCTAAAGTTGTTTTTCTATTCCACGGACTTATTGAGATCACCGTATGAATAATTTCAGGTTAGGTTGGATGAGGATGAGGAGATGGCTCTATCCTCTGCTTCCCTTGAGGAATAATAAAGACATATCTTTTTACTATATTGTAAAATAGAATAAGCAAACACATGTTTATTGTAAAAACACAAACTTGTTAAATATGTTATAAATCTGCACGCACCTTTGCCCCTTTAGTAAAATTAAATTTAACCTATACGAAGCATAAAGTCTGACCGCGTCAACCTTGTTGCACCGGCTAGTACTATCCATAGAGCTAGGTACAGTACAAACTGGGACCGGAAAGGTTGACCCGGCTCAGAAATTCAAATGTACTACGGCTGCCCGTGTCTGTGAAGTAGATGTGAAGAAAGATGGAGAAGTATGAGAACAGCAAAGGAAATGAGTCTTGGCCACAAACTCTGATTTAATAATCTCTACATCTTTTGAACTTAATGACCTCTATCTGATGTTCTTGTTTCGAGAAATTGACATTAAAACTGTGTCAAAATTATACCAAAACCTTTATATACAGGTTTTTATTAATGTTTTTGTATTAAACAAATCATATTCAACAAATGAGCAACCAATCTGAAAACGATTATATCCCACAGGAGCCTGAGAATCTCAAATTTGCTCCTGTTATAATTTTTTTTTATTTTGCATTTTTAATAGACATAATTGATTATATTAGTACATATAAAGTCCGTATAGTCCATATTACATCACCAGAATTACAGCCAATGATGTAAATTTTCAACGACAGCTTACTGCCCAGAAAATATACTGTTTATTTTAAACTATTTAATTTTAAAATTTCTAGTATAAGATTAATAAAAAGCATATCTTATTGTATTTATTAAACTCTAGGATATAATGAATCTAGCTGATATACTGAATACAAATCCACAGGAAAAACCATCAGCAAAATCACTCCTTGCAAATATATTTGCTCGCAATATGAGTGCTGGTAACTCAGCTTCTAGAAAAGTAATACTAACTGACTGCTCTTTTAATTGTTCACAAATATTTCAATATTTTCAAAGATAAATTACAGTGAGTATAAAAAACTCTGGAATTAAACTCAAGTAGTGACTTTAAATAGCACAATTAACATAAAACACAGCAATTGTGCAGTGCACACAGATCCATTAAACTTAATTAATTACTTGTAAAACTATTTGCTTTGTAACAACATCAAATAAACTTAAGTTGATATAATGTCGTTTTCCTTTTCCATAGTTTTCTGGCTCTTATGTAGCTTTTGTTTTGATTTTCACAAACAATAAGATCACCCTGGTGGTAAAATTTAGAACTTCATTAGAGAAGCATACTCCGACCCATTGCCGTTCTTTCCTCCAGAACCACCAAACCAAACCAACCCGAAGGTAGCCATTTTAAAAATACATTTTACCGTCTTTTGACCAACATGACCAATGATTCCCCTACCAGAGGGAGGTATTGCTACTTAACGTCCCTTGGGGCAGTAAGGTAAAATAACCACCCGTTCTGCGAAGTTTTTGAGAAAAAATCGCACATTTTCATCTCAAAATACAATAAAAAGTGTTTACAACTTACTCAACAAAACATCATGGTAACCCTTGGTAAAGTAAATTCCCTTTACTTCCCTGTAAAGTAGTGTAAATAATTAAAATAAAAGTTCATGTAACTTCTAAAAGAGCAATAATTGAAAAAAGTGTGAATTATGGGTTAGAGAGCGTACACATATTTTTGAAAAAACACTCTCCTCTAAAACCTGATATTTCTTCGGTCAGTGTACTGCTGATCACTGCAGTACACACCAATACTAAAATTGAGAAAATTGATGAAAAAACTGTTTAACCTTGGAGAATTTTTATCAAATCTAAAAATAAACATCCAAAATTTTCTTGCCCTGATCTTCAAACATGGTTTATTCCACTTGAAGTTGAATTTAGTGTTCGAGATTTGAGCCGGCGCTCAATTCGAACCGTTTTTTGGCGATTCAGCGACGCAGTTTAAATTCTTTAAATTATACCTCTGAATTTTTAGATTACTGACTTTGCTGTGTCTACTCTTTGCCTTGCTCTGGAGCAAAACTCGGCGTTAAAATCGCTAAATCTTGAATCCAACAGGTCAATGATAAATTAATATGAAATGATTTAAAGAGGAATTAAGAATTTTGAGCTGCTTTTCTGGCTTTTGAAGTAAATTTTCTCTTAAAATTGTAAACAGTACTTAAATTATAGATTTATGGAAAAAATATTTTGAATTAGTTAGATATATATTCCGATGTTTATAATTTAAAAACTGATTATTTTCAATTGTGGGTTCTCTAGAAAAGTGACCTGCGCATTTCTGCTACAGGAAAACATACGGAATTATTACAAATATATAAAAACAGCAATATCTTCAAATTGATCGGATAACAGGTTTCAAGGTCTCAATAATTAATTAAATTTTGTTTTTTGAATCCTTTTTTTATTATTACATATTTTGAAATAAATTACTCTCGTTTTAAAATTTATGTTTTATTTTTAGAATATCTCCGGACACTGTTGCTGCTTTGTTTGAATCTCTTGCATCAAGGTACATCAACCCAAGGCACTAATGCAAGGAAAATTATTTCAGAGGTGTACGCATTTTTTGTACTGCAGGGTACTGTCTTTGGGCGGAAAAGTAAACACAAGACGGATGTTACAGCCTGACATGGAATCCATTTTCACAAAAATAATCTATGAAATATTCTGGTCATAGGAAACTATTATGTGAATTATCAAAATTAAATGCTTTAATCCTCCTCGGATACTAGACGAACACTGATGCATTTATTCTTGTTTACAAATGCCGCCCAGAGAGAACTGGTTTCAATATGTACACAGGGTATTGGCGACCGCAATTAACTTTCCTTGCATTTTCCTTTTGACACCTCCATATTTTATACCATATTTTATACCATATTTTATACCATAGATTCTATAAAATTTTGAATGATGAAGTGATGAAGATTAAGTATCCGATGTCATCTTTTTTTGTAGTCTACCTTGTGTATAGCTTGGTTCGTTTTTAAGCCGTTAACGCTTTTTTGGACTTTTAAAAGGGCCCAATAAATATTAAATATTTCATTACCTTACACAATGCCAAACTCTAGCCTGCGAGAAGATATTTATATGGAAAAAATAACTATATCAATTCGTTTTGAGAAATACATATTGAGTCTGGACCAATGTTAAATTAACGTTTGTGATGGCTTTTCATGCTGGGTTATCCGGATACAAACATTGATATATATGCTCCAGTTTCTTAGTCGTGCTCCCATGGATCAACTAATTTTTATCCTTATGCTCTACTGCAGCACACGTTGGAAAATTAATTGGACCTATGGTTAAACCAGGTACCTATACCTATCATAGCACGACTAAGAAAATGAGCTATAATTGAGATCCCGGTCATTTCTTAATTCATTCTTTAATACTCCAGGAAGAATGGTATTCTTGAAGTTAGGATAAGTGGTCAGCAACAACAAAAAATGGGATTCAGGTATCGTTCCATCCATCTGCGCATGTATTCATCTGTTCAAGGGTGTTCAACGCAAGTGGATTTTACTTGCGCGCAATTGCGAGCCCTTAAACTGCGATTTCCGGGACTGGTAAAAAATGTACATTACTAATTTTAAGATTTGCATGCAGAATTATTACTAGGTTTTTTGATTATTACGTGCGTATTTTGACGTTAAAGCTCGGAGATAATCTATCACGATATGGGACGCTCTGTATGTGTACGATACCATTATAAATTGTCCCTTTCACCTTCTAAAAAACTTTCTCCAAATAAATTTTGGTGACAATAAACAATTTTTTGGATGCATTTTAAAGCCCATTTCTAATTTTTTTTACCTTAAAGCTATGACAGATATGCATGTTCAGGGTTGAGAGTAAGATAGCGAATGCTGTGCAGTTGAACCCCAGGTTGCTCAGAATTGGAATCGATTTTCAGTTCCCAGAAGTAATTAACAGGTAACAAATTTTAAAATAATAAATTAAAGAAGAAAACAATAATTATTGATATATTGTTTGTTTATATCCAGTGAACGTCAAAGGAACCCGATCTGGCCTGCAATATTTTTGTAGGATCCTGATAGTTTTATGGCCGGTTGAACTTACAAAAGAATTGCTTCTAAATATTATTTTTCTTTAAATTATGTGAGACATCTTTCAATGTTGTGGCTTTAAAATGTACGTGGCTACTCACAAGGAATAAGACTGCAAAGACGACTTGAAACTTTAAAGATGTGACGATCCCAAGCTTATATTAATATTTCGTACAATCGTCTCTGAATTCTCATCCTTTGTGAGTAATGATGTACTAAGAAGACATAGATAAGAAAAGAGCGGGAAAAAAGAGGGAAATAATGAAAAAAAAATTTAAGTGACTATGAATGTAATTTCAAGTAACGTGAATAAATACAATTTATTCACTTTGCCATTGATAGAGTGACATGTTAGATATTGATGTTTCCGTTTTACAGAACTGACAATTTTCAATTGAGGTTTTAATACAAAAGTGACTTGCGAATTTCTTGCTTCAGAAACAATGAATTATCAAAATTAAACACGACGTTATCTTTCATAATGTAGATAAAATCGAGGTTTCAAGGTTACTAATGTGAATGGAACATGTCCCTCTCTAAATGCAGGGTCCCTTAATATCTCCCCGCGAGTCCCAAAATATCTCCCCGCGAGTCCCAAAATATCTCCCCGCTCTAGATTTGTTTGATATATTTTTATTTACAAATCTGCGGTACTGGATGTCTGTATAGATTTATTTGTTTAGTTCATTTCAAATCTAAATAAACATTACCCACTGGGCTCGAAAAGAAAGCTGCTGAACGAATTTTAAAACGACTATTTGATAAACATTTTTTTGACAAATTTAATTTTTTTTTGAAAAGATATAGATATGTGTGAATTTCAAACCGTGGTGAAATTTCTGAACAAAGCTCTAACAAAACAGTAACATCACTTCACAATAAAAAATACATTTTTTAAATTTTTGAATAAATTTTATTTTCTCCTTTTCGTTCAGAAGCTTGCTACACATATCTAAGCTTACCTAGTAAAAAAAACGCTGTAAACATAAATTAATCTAAATATTTCCAATGCTCGTGAGAAAATAATCCTCCTGGATACTTCATGAAAACACCTTGAATGTGAAGGTCAGGAAAGGATTGAAATTTATATTTTTGTTTTCACCGGACTTCACACATTAAATCACACAAATACAGGGTGTCCCATGAAACATGACAATAGAGAGACGACTTGAAAGTCGTCTTTGATATTTAAAATAATTTGCGGCATTTAATTGTCAACTTACTTTAGAAGAAAATTCTTGAAGCAATAGTTACAAAATAATAATCCAAATAAATTCAAATCTAGACGAAATTCTTAATATCTACGTTAATATTGGAAGCATAAAAATGGTAGACCACATATTGGAAACATCTGAGTCCGAATTTAATGAATTTGAGCCGCGTCTTAAATCCACCAAAACCGGTTTTAATTGAGCGCCGGGTTAAATCTTGAAACATTGAATACAATTTTAAGTGGAACCCCCATATTTGAGCCGCGTCTCAAATTCAAGCCGTACATGTTAAAGTAAGTTGAAAAATGGATGCCACAAATTATTATATTTTATATTTTCATACATTGTATTCAACTTTTTGAAGCTGCGAACATCTATTTTTGTGCAGACCTATGATGAAGCATAACAGCCGTCATAAATTTTAAGACGACATTTCATGCGCTCTTCCTATGTATTCTAATGTGTAAAATTGGCTGTATGTCTATACACGACTCTGTGGCCGAAAATGATCACATTCTGACGGTAAATCGATCATGGATTTGTCATTTTACTCTTTAAAAACAGAAGCTTGAAACACTTTCTTCCGCTTTGAAAGTTTTCTTACTCAGAGTCTCAGGGTATACTTCGGTATAGGTAAAACCTAAGGTAAAACCCTGTCTCAATAGTTAATAAGTAATTTTCAATACTTTTTAGATCCCTGAGTTTATAGTAACGAATGTAACGAAATAAATTGTATATATATTTTCTAGGGTGTCCAAGCATCTAATATCCAACATGGACAAGTTACGAATCCAGAGACAGGTCAAGGAAGAAAAATCGGAAATAAACTGGACACCATGCAGAACTATTGATCAGACAAATATCCAGGAACAAGAACAGGAACTGGGGCAGGAACAAGAGCAAAATCAGGGAGAGGAACAGGAGCAAGAGAAAGACCAGGAACAGGAGCAGAAACACGATCAGGAACTGGAGGATGAACAGAAACAGGAATCGGAGAAAGAGCAGGAAGAAGAGGAACAGGAGGAAAGTTAAATCATTTTGCATGCATGAGAAACTAAAACTAAATATATGGTTGTCATAAAGTTCATTACTTAATGTGAGAGAAAATGTAAACGGGACCACTACCCAGTACCGAGGCCGGGGAGGAAGGCCAGCCACAACAATTTCTCGTCAGAGCCACATTCTCCTCATTTTCTCGTCCAAGCCACCTCGGAATCCTAGTCCTTAGATTATTATGTGTTTTAAAGTCACCAATTCTCGTAAATAAGACTATATTTCTTTTTTTGCATATACTTCTCTCAGAGTCAAAATTTAACAATCTCTAATTGTTTAAATGCATAATATTTGTTTTTCTTATACTGTGCCAACTTTAGACCGTGAGAAAAATATTTGCAAAAGACCAATCAAAACGCAAATAAATTTCTCAATTTGAATAAGAGAAACTGTATAAAATTTGACCATCAAGAAAACTTATATTAGAAAAAAGTGTTACAGATTCTAGGCGCAGAATTACTTTATTTTATCTAAATTTCACACTGTCTGAAGAATCTTATTGCATCTTAGGTTGGGTTTGATCCTCCTCGAGTTTAAATGTTGAAATCTGTTTACAAGTAATGTTAAATCCTAAATACTCTTCACCAAACTCATTTAAACCTCCCGGTCTCATCTCAAGCTTTGTCTCCGTCCTGGGACACTCATTGCTCGGAGCAACCTTCAACCATTGTCATATATTCTTTAAGTAAAAAAGGGCCTAATTAATTTAAAATTGTTCTAAAGGAAACTACAGGGTTATCCACAAAGAACTGAGACGTGTTTCCTTCCATTCATGATTCTCTGCAACTTTAAACTGCTTTCTTTCTTTGCCAAATCATTGAATAACCTGTTTAAAGACAACATACAAGGCAGAAGACCTAATTTAAAGTAGGAATTGGTCGTATTTTAAAAGTTTCAAGTCGTCTTTGCAGTCTAATTCTTTGTTGATAATCAATCCTGTATGGAATCATACAAAAAAGTTGAAAAAGCCAGAGTTAAACGTACCACGTGCCTTTAGATTATTGTTTAGTGAATCAAGTAAGTCTTTCTACAAATTTAAATAAAAATGTCATGTTTGGTTGGACATCCTGTATTTTCCAGCCGTAAACAACAGTCTTCAGAAGAACTCAATTTATGTAGATATATGACAATGCCTGAATACTATCTCCAATCACAAATTGATTAGGGCCATCTTGAATGAGCGTAGAAATAACAGAATTCCGCGTAATTTTCTCCGCCTCCCGCCACGTAACGCCATGCGTTTTTTTCGTGTGAGCGTTTAAATTATCTATTCTTGCCATTCTAAAGTTACAGATTGGGCATGCGTAGGGCTTTTCTCCTGTATGAACCCTTTGATGGACCTCGTACTTTCTCTAGAAACAATTTTATACTTATAAAGTGTTTTTGATTAAATTATAAATAAATCACAGAAAAAAAATAGATTACTATTTATCAAACTGTTCTCAGTGTGAAGCAAGTGTTGAACAAATGTCAGAATTTCTTTTAATAGTTCAAAGTTGAATAATTTGAGTGGAAATAAGTCACTAAACTGGGATTGACACTAAAATAATGCATTAACACAATGTTACACAAAAAGAATGATACTATAAAGACGACATAAAACATTTAAATATGACGATCTGAATAGTTAAATTGTTTTCTACTGCAAGGAAGCATGGGTGTATGAAAAGGAATTCATAAATTCCATGATTTAATATCATTTCTTGCGGAAAACATTTCTAAAAACCTGTAAATAAATCAACAAAAGTGAGACATAAGCTATCGTATTTCGTCTCAGTGTCAGATTAAATAGTTTACCGACTTAAAGGGAGTGTTTGCGAAAAATGAAAGGGGGTATAGGCTTAATGCAATAAAAAAATCCCTTTTGATAGCTACTAATCTTACTTCTATCTGTTGCGTCTAAAAGAAGAAAATTGTTAAGAACGACTCACACCGAAGAATGTAGTGTCCATACAAATTCAGAAAGATGCAACATTCAACTCGCATTCGTAAATAGTTGATATTTCATAATATTTTATATTTTTCATGATCTGAGAGTTACTTTTGAAAACATTTATTCCTGTTTCGGAGATTTTTAATAATGAAGACGACATTTTCATATTTTCCAGGAATGTTCGAAAATCCAGCGTGTCCTCGATAATCAGGAAAAGGTTTACAAGGTACCGTTGTAACTCGGACATTCCTCTCTTTGCATCGAGGGTCCCTAGAAATTAAGCCCCTTAAGGTAGGATTTAGCAATAATTTCTTTCTTGTATTTTCTCGGAAAAGAATTGCAATAATGTTCGCAAAATAGGAAAAAGGAAATAACATCATACGAATTTAAAAGTTATGAAATAATCATAAAAAAAATCCTAAAACCTACCTGGGTTGGAGTTGATGTACCGCAGCAACATGATCCTAAGATGACAAGTTGGACAAAATTAGCATAAAGAAGGAGGGGGGTGGCAAAAGTGAGATTTTAAAGTATTGTTTATATGGGTAGGGGGGGGGGCGTGGGGCATGGCCCCCTCGTACGTGGCCATATCTAAGCGAAATGATGCGACCTTGCCGCTCCTCCAGCTTTAAGTTTACGCCAAAGCACGAGGAAAACAAGATTTGATGACAACTTAAAACTCTTCTTTTCTTCTCAAAAATCTTCAAAAAGAAAAGTTATGATAGAAAAAATGGAAGTTTTAAACTTTACGTGAAATTTACAGCTATAACAAAATTAAACGTAACGTTTGAAAATCTAGAACTTTCAAGAGTCTAAGCAAAGGATTTAACTAAATTATGCATCTTCCCTTGATATGATCCTTGTTCTTGGCTGCAACTCCACACCCGGGTTCAGGACAGAAGAACCGAGTCTCACCGTGAACTAACTGATAGGAAACAATTTAACTAGTGTATTAGATCCAGTGTGACGTTATATAATGCCTGTCGTAATATTACGCCCGGATATAACGTGACACCGGTGCAGACGTTATATAACGCCTGTAGTAATATTACGCCCGGATAGTTGGCTAATTTCTTAGACGCTCTACCATAGGTAGGACCATAGTCACACTATGGTTACGCTTTACCAGAGCAGTGTAGATAGATATATACGACCTAAAGTTGTACCTAAGGTTAAATGAATAAGAAATTGGCCAAGTGTGTGATTAATGTATCAAAGCATTGATAAACACCTGCTGAACGTAAACATGTGGTTTATTAAGTTTATAAATGTCTTCTTCCTTTCAACAATTAAAAAACAGACATTTTAAGTTCTACCCCTGACAAGTATGTATTAAGTGTGAAATATATTAACAATTTGTAACGTTTTTTTATTGCGTTCGAAATTATAACTTAGGATTAGGAATTAATATTTGGGGAACATATTTCATAAGCAAAAAGGTTTTTCAAAGGGTTATTTAATCATTTAACAAATTATCGCTTTGTTGTGGCCTTCCTTTGGTTTAAGAGTTTCAAGTCTGAAGCCTAATCATTTAGGATTCATTTATGATTAACCTGGCTGGGTAAAAATTGTACACCCATTACACCCGAAAAATTCAATTTAACATTATACACACAAAAACGGCCATAAAAGTATCTAAGACAGTATATCTACCACAAGTAGTATCTAAGGCTATGAAATCTGTCATAAATAGTATCAATCTTAGCTCATAAAATGAGCAACAAAGTTAAGTCTTACACCTGTAACAAAATAAAACCTTGGCAAAAGGCACTCCTTCACCTTGCACGGATATTAAAAGGTTTGCTTAATAAAAAGTTTATATTTACTTTAATATGAGCTCTCAGTGGTTTCTCTCCCTTCAGCAGAGCTCCACAAATATGACAAGGAAGGGTTGGAGCAGAATGAACACCTAAATGTAATAACAGAATTAGCGATGTTAGATACTTTTCCAAAGGCATTTTCCCAAAGCGGGAACTTCAAAATGAAATTTTCCCATGTGGAAACTTGCCAAATGTGAAATTTTCCCATGTGGAAACTTGCCAAATGTGAAATTTTCCCATGTGGAAACTTCCCAAATGTGCAATATTCCCAAGTCTGTCCTAGCCGCAACGCTCGGTTCCCATTGTTGAAGACCTAATCTAACCTTTGACAAGTTGCCGCTTGGGAAATTGCACATTTGGAAAGTTGTCACTTGAGTCGTCCATAGTCAAATGCCTTTGGGGAATTACCCAAGACCGAATTAGCTAACAAATATTTTAACGTACTCCGGCAGGAAGCAGAGGATTGCAGGGAGGGGTGAGTACCTGGTAGCAGTCGTGTTATTAGAGAAATATAATAGAAAGATAGAAATAGGGTGTTCCAATAAGCATGACAATCAGTTTTGCGATTTGTTTACTTGATTTGATCTGTTTTGCGATTTGTTTACTTGATTTGATCTTGACGGCATAATATTATACTCCATGGGAAATATTTAATGGCGTGGAGAAAATGTTGTTTAAAATCACAATTTCAGCTTTTTTCTGAACAGGAGATAATCCTTATAAATAATGATAATAATCTATATATAAATTTGGCTTGTCTGTTTGTTTGTTTGTCTGTTTGTTTGTTTGTATCCAATAAACGTCAAAACGGCTGAACCGATCGGGCCCAAATTTTTTGTGGGACATCTAGGGAGCCCAGGGAAGGTTTATGAATCATCAAAATTTCAAATATTTGTCTCCATCAAAATTCGATCTTCATTAAATTTTTGAAAATTTTGAAAATCCACGAAATTTTTTGTGAAAATCCGCGAATTATTTTTGTTTTGTTTTACAATGTACACAAAGAGAACATGTTCACAATTAATTTATAAGATGGGCGCGAAGCGCCCTCTAAGGCTAGTATATATATATTTATCTAGATGTCTGAGAATCTAGACGTAAACAATTACGTCCTACTTCTAGTTATCAAAATTTAATGCTTTTAACCCTTTTAACCTCCTCGGAAACTTAACTAACACTGATACATCTATTCTTGTTTACAAATTCTGCCCAGAGAGAACTGGTTTCAATATGTACGCAGAGAATACGCAACGGCAATTAACTTCCATTGCATTATATCCTTGATTACAACCTACAAGACCAATAACGATAATTCCAAGTCATCTCCAATGTAGAGTGGAGTTTAATAGAAAATAATTTAATATTTCCAACCTGAAATGTGTTTTTTAAGATTGTGCACACTAGAAAATGTTTTCAGACATATTGAACACTCCTTCGCAGATTTTATCATGAGATTTGGGCAAATCTTGGCATGGTTGTTCAGAGTGACCAATCTTCGGACTGGAAACACCTTAAAGCATCCTTCGTTGGGGCATTTTAGATAAGCATCACGGATCGGATGCTGGGTATCAGGGTGAATTTTGTAAACATGCGCGGCAAGTTGAGATTCCTTGCGCAGCTTCATCTGGCAGCCATCAATATCACATGTTAAATCAAACTGTTTCTGATTATCCAGGTCTGAGTTGTTTTCAGAGAGAAGTTTTGATCTTGATATTCTTTTTGACTTACCTAAAAAAGTTAAAAAACAATAGATTAAAGGGACGTAGTTTCAAGTGACAATCCATTTGAGGAGTTTCACAACGCTTTACGTGTGATAAAGATAAAAAAGACAATTTCCGTCAATTTGCTCGGCTTTCTCTCTACTGTCAGTGTCACCCTTTCTTTAGTATTAAATGAAACAAGTCAATCATGGCGAGGTGTGGAAACAGCAAAAGACAAATTTAGACAAAGTTTTTAAATCATTAAATATCGGGCATGGATCTATAGGAAGGATCAATTAAAATATCGTCGGCAGTAACTTAACAATATTGAATCCCTACCTTTAGAATATTCTTGATCCTCCCAAACCTCTGAATTAGTATTAACATCTGTTTCCTCTAGCGTTATATGATCACCATCTTGACAATCTAATCTAGAACTTTTTTGAAAGTTTAATTTCTGGTTAGGTCGGATATTTTCTATATGCAGGGTACTTTCAAATCTGTTTTCTCTTTTTTCTTCTTTGATAGATTCTGATACTTCAATAATACTTGAATGTCTGGTATCAGTATCTTGTGTTCTGGTATTAAACTCCTGTGGTCTGGCATTGAACTCTTGTGGTCTGGTATTGAACTCCTGTGGTCTGGAATTGAACTTCTGTTGTCTTGTATTGAACTCTTGTGTTCTGGTATTATGAAGTTCTTCACGGCACTCTGAACAAATATTTTGATCTTCTTGAATCAGAACCCTAAACAAACATTTAAACAATAAATCTAAAGAAGACATTTAAAAATTAATTTTGAATACCCAAATTAAACGACCATCAATAGATCAAACGCGAACCCTAACCACAAACCATACTTTTTAAAAATGAAGCCTAGAAAACAACAATAACTTTGTATCTATGATTTCATTGAATGCAAGATGAAAAAATGCCAAACATCTTAATTTGCTATTTATTCTACAACTGACGCAATAATGTAAATCTGGGAGGAAGCTTGTTAAATCAATGCCAATTTAAAGGGAGTGTTCTCGAAAAATAATATTGAAATACTTTCAATGTAAGTGGAGTAATTCAACTCTGTGAACATATATGGACGCAACACTCTTGGATTTAAGACGTTTTAAACCATTTTCTCCTCACAGACCCAACGAGGGAGGGAGTCCAGAGTTCCTCAAATAGTAATCACCGCCACCCAAAGCGCGCTTCTCAATTGGTAATCTCCACCACCTCAAATAGTAATCACCCCAAAAAAGTATAAAATTAAATCGTTTATTTCTTAGAAATAAGACCATATTGACCTCTTTTAATGGCCCTATGGTGTACAGTATTGTCAAAGCTTTCTTTATTGCTCCTTAGTTTCGAAAATAAATCAATAAATATGCCACACTAAGTGCTAGAAAAATATTACGCTTTTTAGTTTCAAGTTTCGCTTTAAGAATGTTTGCGGCATTTTCCTCTGAATGTTGTTTTAAACTCCTTATATAGAGAGGAAACTTTAACCCATTATTAGTGGACTAAATACTTCATTTTCAGTAGTTGGTGTGATGAGACTAATTTTTCAAAATTTTATGTTCTTTCTATGCATATAATTAGTTTTTTGTAGATGTTGAACTCGAGTAGGCGAATACAAAAATCTAAACACTGTAAAGGTTTTTTGAAAATATCTTTTAAATGGAGATTGATATTACTTTGGGCGCGATTAGATAATTTTTAGTAAATTTTAAGTCCTTTCTATGCATATAATTAGTTTTGTTGTAGATGTTGAACTCAAGTTGGCGAATACAAAAATCTAAACACTGTAAAGGTTTTTAAAAAATATCTTTTAAATGGAGATTGATATTACTTTGGGCGCGATGAGATAATTTTTAGTAAACAGGAAGCCCGATCTTTTTTGTATCTTGACGCCAATCATGAAATGCAGTCATTTAAGTGACGAATTGGATCTAAGATTCGGCTAAAATGAACTGTGCCTTGATTCCTAGTTTTTGTTGACCAAACAGATCTGAAAATAATTTGAAAATTTAGTTTAAGTCAATACAGATGCCATAAAACCCCGATAGATGTCGAAAATTGTGTTAAAAGTGCATTAAATTCAAATCACAGAAAACAAAATTTTACGGTGATTACTAATTGAGGAGCGCGCTTGCCGCAAAACAGATTTGGGTGGCGGTGATTACTATTTGAGGAACTCTGGACTCCCTCCCTGACCCAACAGATAGAAGTAAAACTAATAGCAATCGATATTGAATTCAATTCTATATCAGCCTTAACCCCCTTTCATTTTTCGCTAACATTCCCTTTAAAGATAAGATTTGGTTTACCTAGAACAGTGTCGACTCCGAAGGTAAAGTTGATCCCTGTATTTTTCTAAAAGAATATTTGTAAGATCAGGATTCACTTCCTGTTCATCCTGGAACCCAACACACGGAGAATATTCCCTAAACACGAGTCTATCCAGTAGTTCCAACGTCGTTGTCTACATTAAAGGGAGTGTTCGCGTAATTTCAAGTGACCCCCTATGCAAAGATGGCAATGTCTGATTCACAATGATACCTTAGAACCCGTTATCTGATCAATAAAGTGGAATATATTGAGGTTTTTCTATTACAAGAATAAAACTTTTGTAGAGAAACCACAATTGAAAACAAACACTTCAAATTACACATCCCCTTTAACAGATGGACTGCCGAAGTAATTTTAATTCAATTGACCCTTTATATCCGATTCACCTGGTCCCTGTAAACATTTTTTTGAGAGTGAAAAATCTTGTAAGATGTTTTATATTTCAACATACTACTATTTGATTTCCAAGAATTTAAGACAAATTTTGATTGGAATTTTTAAAACACTTTTTTGACTTTCAACATTAGGATAGTTTTCTTGGTGAATTAATTTTCCTTAAATTTTCCATCGCTAAATTTTCCGCTAAGAAAATTAGGATATCTCTTGCATCGATGGTCCGAAAAAAAAGTATTCCGTTTTGAATCTGCCCATCTTAATTGTACATTTACATGTAGCTATGTAAATGGAGGGTCCCTTAAGTTCCTTTAAAAGGGCTTTAGGTAAGTCACACTTTGGTATCCCAATCCTCTCTACCTCTTCAAGACTAACCTGTTTAGTATAAAGAGTATATGATCGACCAGACTAACATCTATCCCGGTCCTCTCTACAACCTCCGCCTCAACCTCTTCAAGAACCTCCTCGTTGTAGGCGACTAACAGTATCTTAACTAGATTAACAATGAATCAACCAGGGATTTATATTTTCTTAAAAACAACCCCCCCTCCCTCTTTTCAAACATTAATTTTTTCCCTCAGTATAAAAAGAACGCTTTTTTCCCGCTGAATAGGGGATATAAATGAATTTTTTGGGGAAAAAAAGTGTCAAAACAGGGAAAAATAAATTAACTTTTTAATTAAAAATTAACTTTTAATCTTCAAAGAATCTCTACTTCCGGCATTTTTTTTTGGGGGGGGGGATGCCCCGTAGACTTCCTGCAAGTTATTTGACCCCAAAATTCATTGATTTTCTCACAAAATCAATTATTTTTTCTTATTAACTTGTGCAGTACAAAACCTTAAGTTTCACACAAGAAAATAAAAAAATACAAGACATAACCTACTTTTAAACTCTTTCTTGAAGATTAGAACAAAAACTAGCGGACTAAAAGAAAGGATAGGGATAGCCTTCTCTTTCTTATCATTTAATTTCATCAGCTTCAGGAAGGTCTGGTTTCCCTGAATAAAAGAGTATTTACAACAGTACCCTTAAAACCTTTATCTGCTCCACAGCGTGGAAGATATCGTCGTTTGCCTAAACGTATTTAATTCTGATAATTCCCATATGTCTTTTTCAGTAAAAATGCGTAAGTAAAAATAATCAGGTTTCAACATTATAAATATTGATTTCTGAAACGTATAATCGGGCATTGTCATCTTTGCATAGAGGGTCACTCATGCAGGGGAGTGATCGTTAAATAAACGATCGTCAAATAAATAGTCGTTAAATAAAAGATCGTTAAATAAAAGATCGTTTACATATTTCAGAAAAATCAGAGATGTAACTTTATGAATCTGACAAGTTCCTAAATGAAGGTTGAGAATGAATCTCGATATTAACCAGATACAAAAGTGCCTAATTTGTGTTTGGTTTTATACATAAGGGGGGGGGAGAATGAGTTGGAAGTTGGATAAGAGTGTAAAAATACAAACCTTGATAAACAGATGGGTTTGGATGTTTGCCTCCGATGGTATTCTATATTTAAGAGGTTTAAACCCTTTACCTTGTAGTAAGGACGCGAAGCTTTCAATTTCAAACTTTAACCAAATATTTATAAAAATAATTAAGGGGGAAAATGCTCTGTCAGTGGTTTAATTTACTTTAACAATGGAATTCGCAAAATTGACTGTATTCCAGCAGAAATTGTAAAGAATTCATTAAATCACATAATGTATTAGGGGAGGACCCCCCCCCCCTTCAATAACACGGTGTAGCTTAAACCTTCCTAGTGTTTATATTGTTCAGGTGAAAATCCATTTTTGTTCTGAAATCAAAATTTAAAGAATTGAATATTATTTTAAACTGGTTGATGTCTAATTTTATTCTAGACAGAAAAATTAACATTTTATAAGCTGATACTTCATAATGAAAAATAAATGTCAACATTTTTTTTAAAATGTTTAATAACTTCCTTACTAAAACACAGGGTACTCAAATACTTGTTTATAAAAAAACTAGATAATTCATATTTATCAAATTATTACTTACACAAAAGCATTGTTTAAGTTTTTAAAGGATTGTATACGTAATTTCATATGACGCTCTATATATGGTGGCACGTCTGATTTACAACAGTACCCCTTAGAAGGTTTGTATAATCAATAATGAATACTATTAACTTTGAAAATCTGTTTTTTATTTAATTTTCTCAATATCAGTGAATTGTGGATTTCTGAGAATGAAGAAAACACCTTGAAACTAGAAAAGCGCCGATATCTTCTTCATTATTGATCAAAGGCCGAATTTAAAGAATATGATCCGCAGCTTAAATTTAAGACGCGGCTCAAATATGACTGGATCCACTTAAAATCTTATTCAATGTTTCAAGCTAGTGCTCAATTGTAACCTGTTCTTGGGGGATTTAAGACGCCGTCAAATTCATTAATTTCAAACTCGGTGTCAAGAACCGAGCATGCTCCTCAATATCTTTAAAGGGTCTGTAAGTAAACCTTAACCGGCCTGATCAATAATGTGGAAAGTATTGTTCCCCCCCCCCCATGTTTAAAAGTGCTTATTTTAGAAGTTACAAGTCCATTTTGTAGAGAACCCACAATTGTAAATATTCAGTTTAAAATTATTAACATAGATATCAAATTCATGCTTGACCAGACAAAGTTTTCAAGGGTACCGTTGTGAATCAGGCATTGCCATCTTTGCATGGAGGGTCACTTGAAATAAGACCTTTTAGGGTTTGGTTACAATTTACCAGTGCTTAGGATCCATATAATTTTGATGCGGATCCTGGATCTGCACTGGAAAAAATGGATCCGGATGAAAATTTCAATAAGATTTTCTGATTTTTTAACAAAAGAAAAATTTTCAAATCAAATTTCTTCTTTATTTTCCGCTTATTTTTATGCTAAAACTTGATGAACTATTCAGCGATAAGAAATTTTTGATAATCTCTTGTTTATAACAATTCAGATTTAAGTTTTAATAGCAAAAAGTTTTTTTTTTTTTTGCAGGTTTTTATTGATATTTTGCCCCTCAGATTCGGAATGTTGCGGATCCAACGGATACGGATTCTAAGCACTGAAACTTGCAACCCGTTTCAGAAACAAATAAACTTCAAATTTTACAAATTTGTTGTGCTGGCCAGGATCTTGTAGGGTTCAGTTTTCACAGGTTCTATGAGAAGGTTGAAATGCTGAAGCTCGTCCTGGCCCCGGTCAACAGGGATGATATTGTAAACAGGAGGAAGAGCAAGAGGGTCGTGATCATTCTTATTTCGACATGATACCCCAGTCATACCCTCGGCCTCCTAGTATATACAACATTCGTTCAAGAGGTTTGTATATACTGTACCTGGAGTGCAGAGGGGGGGGGAGGCTGATTTCGTTTCCTTTGTGGTGGAATGCTGAGATCTAATAAGAGTTCCTCGGGATAGTTTAGTACAACTCAATCCCAAAACTTTATTGTAAAATAGTAATAAAATGTGTTTATTTTCCCTAAACCTCCGCCATTCTAAAAGTTTTAATGTCATGAAATTAAAATGCTTAATTTTAGTTGGGTTGGAAGGGACGGATATGAAGACCCTATGCTCGATCCTTTGAACAACCCTAATATCAGGTAATTTCTAGAAATATGAAGACTGATGTTTTGTAATAATTCAAAATAAAAAAATAATCTTTCTGTAAATGTATTTCTATGAATCGCGCCCATCTTCTATTTAAATTGTGAACATTTTCTTTTTGTTTACATTTTAAAACAAAGAAAAAAAATTCGCGTTTTAAGAATTTAAATTTTTTATAAAATTAAAAACCTTTAAAACACATTTTTTTAAATTTTTATCATTCGTAAACCTTCCCTGTGGTCACGTGATGTCCCACAAAGAATTTGGGCCCGATCGGTTCAGCCGTTTTGACGTTTATTGGATACAAACAAACAGACAGACAAGCCAAATTTATATATAGACTTCGCTTCGCGCCCTTCTTTCTAGCCTTAGAGGGCGCTTCGCGCCCATCTTCTAAATTAGTTGTGAACATGTTCTCAGATATTGGATAAAGATAACAATAAAGATAACAATAAAGATAACGATAACGATAACGATAACGATAACGATAACGATAACGATAACGATAACGATAAAGATAAAGAGCTGAGTGTAAATCTATTAGTGTCAAGTCTATGGCAGTTTGTCATAAAGACAATTTAAGTTAAGTTAAGAAAACTAACAACTGAAATTAATATTTTGTTTACAGGGATGTGGCAATAAAGCAATTTTTATACCAATAAAATATTCAATGTTCAGTACCTTCCAAGTTACGCCGTGCGACTTTTTAGTGTGAAGATTTAAATTGTCTAGTCTCGAACACCTAAAACGTAATAAACATACAGTGAGCCCCATAAAACTTTTGAATTAAGTTATGGTATTGTACAGTGTACAGTGTACAAGGTGCAGTGTGCAGTGTACAGTGTACAGTTTACAGTGTACAGTGTACAGTGTACAGTTTACAGTGTGTAGTGTACACCAATTTCTGCTAATTTATTTATTCTATTTATTCGTACACAATTATAATGGTACAATTTAAAATCAAGGAGGAATGAGATATATAAGATATGAAATATANAACTGAATATTTAAAAATTATCTTTGATTTTTAAAATAAATATTGAAGATCCCACTTTTATAAAATTATATAAAATAAAAAGATGTTTTCTTACCTGAAACTACATATAGGACAAGCAAACGGTTTCTCTCCAGTATGAACTCTCATATGTTGTTCAAACCGTCGTTTATCATTAAATTTTTTATCACATAGAGTACAGGGATGGATAAACTTCCCCATATGCTTGTTTTCACACATCCTTCGCTGATGCCTGTATCTGAAAAATAATAAATTGAGCTATTTTTGTTTGATATTTCCACTCCCCCTGTCAAATTGCACTCCAACAACCAACTTAAAAAAAACCCTTACTTTGACCACTAACTTCAATATTTAAGATACTGGAGAAGTTTAAAATCTGAAAATTAGAACATTACGACTCACTGGGGAAATAATCATCATTCAAACTTACAACTTTGTTTGGCAAATCCTGGATGATAGGTGTTCTAAAGTGGGGCATGGCTCAAATTTGGTCGTGTGGCTGGGCGCTTCTCAAATAAAAATAAAAAAGAAATCAATTTATTCACATCAGAGAAGGCCGGGCTGAAAACCCAGGACATGTTACGGACTTGAAACTCCAATCCATTACCGGAGCCTTAATCCCTGCAACTTATGATTTGATTTAAAAAAGGAAGAAATAATATTTTGTGAATTCTAATAAATTAAGACAAATATAATTTTGGAAAGAAAACTGACTGGTAAATTACAAGACAGAAAACGTTGATGTTACAGATTTTATGCCAGAATATATATACTAGCTCGAGTACCCAGCATTGCGTGGATTAAAAACTTATTCTTTGAAAGCAAACCTACTCAACTTACTCAGCATTAACGTGGCTCTAAAATTAGTAAAAATTAGATTACAACTTTATAAACTAGATACCTGAAATCTTTCCCACAACCGTGACACATGTAGAGTTTCTCGTTCTTATGGACTGATGAAATATGATCAAGCAATGACGCCTAAAACGGAATAATTGACATGTAATATATCCTGACATGTTATATATCCAGAAACGGAATAATTGACATGTTATATATCCTAAACGGAATAGATGACATGTTATATATCCTGAAACGGAATAATTGACATGTTATATATCCTGAAACAGAATAATTGACATGTTATATATCCTATATCAATTCAATGAATGAGATACCCTTATTTTTCTACCTAAAAATAGATTTTTTCAATTGAGTTTTCTGTAAAAACTCCCTGGCATGTTTTTGCTGCAGAGACAATAAAAGCGAATAAATTTAGAAAACCTTCATTTTTTCTTCAATAATAAAAAAGATATAATTTTGCTTTTAGTGTACTGGGTACCGTTGTGAATTGAACATTTCAGTTTTTATATACAGGGGAAATTCACGTCTGCAATCTCCTGAATCATGAAACTCTATGTTTTACTTAAACAAGACAGATTTCAACCAAATTGAATTAAAAATGTTTTTAAGGCTTTAATGAGGTTATATTTTAGAAATTTTAATTTAAGGCAAGTTTTCCTCGATTATGTTGTGCTGTTAATTTACCTTAGAGTTCACAGAAAGTAAATTTTAAATCGTAAAATAATTTTCTAAGAAAATGATTTTTTGCCACAAACTAATATCCTGACAGTATAAACCCTAGATATGTCTAATGCACATTTTTGCATCCTGATGGTGTTTCACTTTGATATTTTCAAACTTAAATTATTTGATATCTAGACAAAATCCATATTTTAAAATGTCAAATGTTTAGAATTTTACAAACTTAGTTCATTTGTTTTTTTAGAATAAAAAAATGTTATAAAGTTGTAGCCATAAAACTCCAATATAGGAAGTCGACTTCATAACAATACTTAAGTCCATTTATAGTTTCAAAGCAAAATGTTTAGTAGACACTTATTAAATCACTTATTAAGTTAAATGGGTCTGTTTGCACTGCACAATTTCTGTGTCCACCATGCTCATTGGCTTATGTAAAGTCATAAATGGAGTCTAGAAGTCGTTTTCCTATTTAAAGGTTTTCTGGTGATCGCTTTAAAATATGTTTTAGTTGAAAGTGCAGCTAGATTCGGTCTAGCTTTATCCAACCTAGGAGACATCACTGGGTAATAATTTGACAATTCTTATTTTCATATTTTTTACAAATTACATTTTTAATCGATTTATATATTTCTTGTGGAGATAATCTTTTTTTTCAATATTCTTCTTTCCTGTGTATCTTTATTCACTTTATTTAACTGTGTTGCNTATACAGTTCTGAACATAGCTGATAAAGCAATTTGTATTTCTCATTAATTTTCTGCAAGTCTGTATTCTGGATGTAGGTATGAAGAAATAAGTTTTTTCGTCAGCTCATGATTCAGCAGCATCAAAATTCATGTTTCATTTGGAAAATAAAGTAATAGAATTTCCAACATTAAAGTTTACATTAGTCCAGAATTTTTTTAGTTTCATTAGGTTTATTGTTTAATTATAAAATGCTACTGAGTTCGTTGAGATCATAGGTTTTAATCATCACATAAAAAATTAATTAGATGTGTCAGTTTTAGTACTGTAAACTCCCTAAAAATCAATATCATTGATTGTAGTCCTGATTTCCTGAATAGTGAAAAGAAAAATTCTTTAAAAAACACCAAAAAACTCATTTTTGTTTTTATGGATTTGTTTTTAAAGGCCAACCCGGTGTTAGGTAAGTTTAGGCCGATCTCTGCGGCTAGGATGTTAAGGTAAAAAAGGGGAGTCAGGGGGGGGAATAATACTAAGAATTGAATTGAATTGAATTTTATTGAATTGAATTAAATTGAATAGAATTGAATTAACATTATTTCTTTAATAACAAATTGAAAGGACGGAAAAGTGCTTAAATCCTAGAGCCGGACCCCTGGCGTACCTAAGTTCCGGAGCTGAGAGCTTGGTTGTCCCTATCAGCTCCTTGTCTGGATGTATCTTGTTGATGTGAACAGCTAGTTTTCTACCAACCTCTTTAAAGGTTCGTTTACAGCTTGGAACTGGACAACTAAAGTAGAATCTTCCATTAGTTCTGGGATTTATATATATATCATCAGGAGTATCAGGAGTATCTGTATCAGTGTCAGGATATATATAAATATATATATATATCAGTAGTATCAGGAGTATCTGTATTAGTGTCAGGATATATATATATATTTATATATATCAGGAGTATCAGGAGTATCTGTATCAGTGTCAGGATATATATGTATATATATCATCAGGAGTATCAGGAGTATCTATATCAGTGTCAGGATATATATCTATAAATATATAGCAGGAGTATCAGGAGTATCAGGAGTCTCTGTATCAGTGTCAGGATATATATCTATAAATATATAGCAGGAGTATCAGGAGTATCTGTATCAGTGTCATGATAAATATCTATAAATATAAAGCAGGAGTATCAGTGACTTATCGACTTAAACTAATATGTACTTTTTAAAATTATTTAATTTATTCATTTAATGAATTTAAAATAAAGTAATGTATATTTCAGTTAATTTCCTATCTAGTAGTAATCTCTGTCTGTCTGTCAGATCATATCTCATGAACCCCTTGACTGACTTGTCTCAAATTTTTAGGGAACTCGGGAGAACCACAGGAATGTTCTTAGCTTGGTTGTAAATTTTAAGTTGAGTAGGGGGGGGATTCTACTACAATTTTTTTTCTGCCAACACTTAATTCACAGTTAGGAGTTCAAAGTACCTTATTAGACCGTTTCCCTTATGAGCTTCAGTTAGATGTTTCTCCAATGATTTCTTCCTTCGAAACCTTCTTTTACAATCCACTTCCGGACAAACGTAACTCACTTCCGGTTTCTTTTCCGGAGTTTCTTCCCAAATAAATTGTTCAGGCTGCTCCTGTAGAACCTTAAAAAAGATGTGAATATATCTATAGTATTTTTATAATATCTAAATATATAAAGTTGTAATCTCTGTTTTTCCGTTCGTTGTTTCTGATCATATGAGAGAGGAGGCTAGGCTTGGACTGTCAAGTACGATCTCTGACCCGAGAACGGTGCAGTGGAGTAGTTCGTTATCATGATGTTTTCTCCCTACACTGTCTTGCTATAAACCGTTTGATTCTGTTTTATTATTTTAATGAAGTAATCTTCTCGTGTTATACTTTAATATCGTGAAGCAAAACTAGTAATATATACATTTATTGAAGTCGGTTTTGATTCAAATCCTACACTACCCTGTAGTTTTTTGGAATTTAAAGACAATATTTTTAATAATTGTTTTGATCAAAAATAACATTAATCCGTCAGCATAACAATAATAATTACAATGCCAACAATAGAACCCTATTTACAGAAGAAGGGCTGTGCATACTGCATTATAAGTAAGTTGAACTGAACAAGCACAGAATAAAGAATATCAAATCAATGAAATTAATTTCACCTTAGTTTTACTATTTTTCTCAGAACTCTTGGTTTCCTCCTTCTCCTCTTCCTCCCCCTGGTACACGCTCAGATCTGGGGACATGTTCACCTCTTCTACAAGTACATCAATCAATCAATCAACCAACCAATCAATCAATCAATCAATCAATCAACCAGCCTGACAATAAATAAACCAATCAATTAACCAATCAAACTAAATATCAATCACTTCATGTTGAGGGAGAGGGGGGAGGGGGGGGGGGGCATAAAAACTGTAGAAGATAAAATAATATCTGTTCATTGAAACCTGTTCATTTTTCAAACATTAAAATAAGAAATTCTGGGAAATAAAGGATTATTTCAAGTAAATTGCATGAAATAATTTAGAATTGTTTATTTCATGTAAAATCAAGTATTAAACGGGGAAATTAAGTAATTTGGGACAAATATATTTGAAATTTGTTTTGGCAGGAGAAAAAATCTCTTTGCTAAAACACGGGGACACTGGGGTCCTTTGCCTCAGAACCGTCAATTCTGTAGATTTAATTGCACTGATCTGAACTTAAATTAGATATTAATTGCACTGATCTGAACTTAAATTAGATTTTAATTGCACTGATCTTAACTTAAAATTAGATTTTAAGGACGCTTTATTCTCCTACTAGTATTCACTACTCATACCTGGAATATGATTAATCTTGTTCTCCATACTAAGCTCTGGACTGACCAGCCGTAAACATGAAGTACAGATATCATCCGGGGATTTACCTTCATTAAAAAAATGTTATTTCAAGTAAAAAAGCTGATGATACTTTTAGTGTTGAAAATAGAGCAAAATGAGAATAACGATTCACATATTCAAATATTAAAAACAATTTACCTGAATGCAAAGATTATTTGCTCCTGTAATGTATACCTGGATACAAGGATGGTTTTATTATCCTTGTACAGTCCCCGCTCCTGTACAGTATAGTATACCTGGATACAAGGATGGTTTTATTATCCTGGTACAGTCCCTGCTCCTGTACAGTATAGTATACCTGGATACAAGGATGGTTTTATTATCCTGGTACAGTCCCTGCTCCTGTATAGTATAGTATACCTGGATACAAGGATGGTTTAATTATCCTGGTACAGTCCCTGCTCCTGTAGTAAATACGATCTCCGAACCTCTCAATGAGAATACAACTAACACTAGCATTCTAAACAACATTCAGTCATTTAAACATTTGTCTTAACTTCATTCAACATCAACCTAGGTAACCTTATTTTAGCAATATTACAGAATAGCGCTGTCCTGCCATTACCAAAATAAATGTGGTCTGCAATTTTTGTGCTATTATTATTATTATTATTATTATTAACATTCAACCTACAGTCAAAGTATCATGTCCTGTAGGCTATGATACGTTGAGCTCCAGGGTCGAGCTCCAACCACTTACCCTTGTCTACATGGGTTTTAGTGGATCATATCTGACGGTGCATTATTTATGATTCAGTGCATTTTGCCAGCGTATGTAAGGAGGCATGCTATATTACCGGAGATATGAATAATTTCGTTTGAGACACTTTTATGGTTTTATTTAATGAATTGAAATTTAGAACAAATTCCTAATATTTCTAGTATTTTTAGAGCAAACAATGGCAGACCTCATTTTTGAAATGGCAAGACTAGGGCTATGTAGGCGACTTTTAAGTCATCAAACAATCTACATTATTCCGTGTTTTTTAATAGTTTCACTAAATGTATTCTTAAAAAAGATATGAACCTGTCCAATACTAGACTTGCCAAAATCAAATCAAAAGATAAGCCTCCCCCCCCCCCCGGCCCCCCAAAAAATGATAATTGTTTGCCAAAGTTTGAGTTTAAGTTGACATGATTCCTGTATTGTATCCCCTAGACCGGAGCATGGTGTACAGGGCTCCTGGAGAACAGATATTACATCTCGAACCTCAGCTTCAGTACACAGAGCTGAACCTTGTAGAAACCTGGAATCAAATACAATTCATAACCTGGATAAAGTTGTATAATTTAGAGTCCTAAATACAAAAAGAAACTCTACTAAATTGATGAGGGATTTACTAAAAACTAAGTTTAAAAAGCTAAAAGGAACTGTTTACGTAAATTCAATTGACCCTCAATGTAAAGAGTTATATGCCTATTTACGAGGGCGAACCTTTCAAACCTTTCTCTAAGTATTAAAAAGATATCACCGTTCCTTCTCTCTACTGCACAAATCCGCAAGCATTTTTTAGAGAATCTGACATTGGAAAAATGTTTTAACGGGTGATATGGACATTTAACTCTTTAAATGGAGGGTCACTTAAAGTTACACAGTCCCTTTATGTTAACATTCCTGGAGCAGATGGTTTCCTCGTTGTACGTCAGGGTTGATAAACTCAGCTGAGAGGAGGACTTCCAGCTCAGGAGTAGAAATATAGGAGGAGACAGGGACGGAACTCCTCCGGGTTGAGGTTGCCAGCTCCGATGAATTCTCAGAGAAGTTTGCTCTCCTGACTCCAGGATCTCTGTATAGATACTGGAATCCCGCGTTCGGAGAAGAGATCCAAACATTTGGAATTGATCCTGAGATTCGCGAGGTTTTACCATTTTGAAATTCACAGCTTAAGCTAAATCCCTTGACATATTATCTGTAACAAAATGCGTAAAATAAAATAAAATAAAATTTAATTTGCATCACCACGGTATCCAACTCTTCCTCCACTCCAACCTGCTCCTTGTACTCGTCCTCCACCTCGACCTCCTCCACCCCGACCCTGATAACCTCGTCCACCACCTCCTCCTCCTCCGCCATGGTGACCACCACCTCCTCCCTAAAGGATTATTTCAAGTAAATTGCATGAAATAATTTAGAATTGTTTATTTCATGTAAAATCAAGTATTAAACGGGGAAATTAAGTAATTTGGGATCGGTATCCAACTCTTCCTCCACTCCAACCTGCTCCCTGGTAGCCTCCGCCTTGATGTCCGTCTCCTCTGCCATCATGGTATCCTCCTCTACCTCCACCTCCTTGGTATCCGCCGCCACGACCTCCACCTCCCTGGTATCCGCCACCTCTGCCTCCGCCTCCTTGGTATCCGCCACCACGGCCTCCACCTCTACCCTGGTCAGGCTGACGCTGAGACCAGCCCGGCATCTCAGGGGGCGGAGCAGTCATTGTGTCAGTTCTTCCACCACGGTCGGGTACTTCTCCGATCATAACCTAGTTAAACTCAGATTATCAACTTTAAATCATAATTAAATCAAAGATAAAATAAAAGCATGATTATTATGACTTTAATCATTAGAATGATCCCCTCCCTTAAGTCACATTATAAAGACTAGTCTGAGTGTGGGTCCTGGAATTACTACCTTATTAAGACTAGTCTGAGTGTGGGCCCTGGAATTACTACTACAAACTTTTTCCATGATAGCAGCATCCTCTCTAAGAATAATAAAAGAGTGATAACAAATTTTTGTGTGGTGATTTTTTAATCTTTTTTTCCCTCAAAGCATTATATTTATTTGAAAAATAAAAAAAATCTTTTGAGAATTTTCTGTTTTAAAAATATCTAAAAAAAAAATCTTCTAATTGACAGACAAATCAAAACCAAAAACCAAGCCGATCACACATTGACGACAATGCCACGCTCCTTTACCTAGCAGCAAGAAGATCTGGTATACCAACACGTGGTTTATCCTGCAGAACAGATCTTAGTTTGTTGTACAGTACAGCAATCTCACCCTCCCTGCACATAATAAATGTACTCCTCAAAAAAACCTTCCAATAAGTTTATAAAATTAATAAATCTCTTGGGGTAAGAGTTGTCATATCTACAAGAACATATTTTCAATAATTGATAATGGAGGGAAAAAATTCTAAAATATATAAGCTGACCTCTGCTGCACCTTCTCTGACCAAGAGAAGGATTGAACTGTTGCATCCAGTCTGGAATAATATTATTATTATCATTAGTTTGTTACTGCAAGAGAAGGATTCAACTCTTGAATCCAGTCTGGAATAATATTATTATTATCATTAGTTTGTTACTGCAAGCAAGATGGGCTTCTTTTCAATTCATTTTGCTGTTACTGTTAGTAAATAACCGGGGAGCTTTTCATGTTCTACGAACGCCAAAATTTTGCATAACTAAAATAATATTCTAAAATCTAACAGAAATCCACGTGGAGCCTCTTGAAAAGGCAAAAACTTCAACTGTGTGAAAAAAGATCTGACAGGATCTCTAACACTACATTTCTGTGCAAATGCGATCACTAAGGACAATAGTAAGAAGAGCTTCTTTGTATTTTTTTAGCCATCCATTTTATCTCAAAAATATCAAAATAATACCTAGTTAATAGCATTCGTCTTCGTAGAGAATAATCTGCAGACAGATGGGTTTGAATTTCCTCCAGTTGGTTCCACTAAAAATTGAATAAAATAATAAAAAAAAACCTTGAGGCTTCTGAAGACTAGTTTAGTGCCAGACCTATGGTTTAGGTTCTAAATAGATAGCTGAGTAGGAGTTCAAATCTACTGTAAAGATAGATAGGTTTAATTTGTAATATCTCTAGAGCTAAGGTTTATTATCTAGATAGATACCTGAGTAGAAGTTAAATCTCCGATAAAGATTGGTTTACTCAGTAATATCTCTAGAGCTAAGGTTTATTATCTAGATAGGTACCTGAGTAGAATTTAAATCTCCGATAGATTGGTTTACTCCGTAATATCTCCGGAGCTAAGGTTCATTATCTAGATAGATACCTGCGTAGAAGTTAAATCTCCTATAAAGATAGGTTTACTCCGTAATATCTCCGGAGCTCTGGAATATGATTCTCGAACCTTGTTATTCACCTAAAAAAAGTTATTCATTATTTTTCAAGACTCGGTCGTCTTTTAATTGTTCAACTTAGTCTTCGGGATCTAACTTACTAAACCTACTTATAGTTTCTGTAGCCCTAGAAATGTAAATTTCAGCTAGTTTCTATTCTCCGTTTTGAAAGAAGAAAATGACATAATGCTGACAGATTTTGTGCGAAGAGGACATTTTGAATGTATTTCCTGAAGTGACATTTCCACATGTTTATATTAAGTATTGGCCTTAAATCCAAATATTCTTCAGTTTTTAGTTAAATATTAATTAAAGTAAAACTTTTATTTTGTTTTAATTGTTAACTTTCCAAACGAAAATTTGATTCTTGAACTAACTTACTTTCTCGAATAGTTGTAGAGATGATATATTATCCGGAGGTTTAGGGAAACCAAGAGCTAGCAGCATTATCTTTAACTCACGAGCAGTTTCAGACTCCTGGAAATCAAAATAAATGGCGTTGGGATAAAAATTAGTTTTGAACAAGTGACTGCCATTTGAGACTAAAATAAGGTTGAAATCTTGAGATATTTTGGGACTAATTATTAATTTGAGTCTAAGTTTCACTGCTAGCAGTTGAGACTAATGGATTTAGACCCAAGACTAAGCTTATAAATTGGCTTACCTCAACTTTTATGTGCATTGCGTTCTGAGGTTTGTTTGAAATAGAAATCTTAGCCGCCATGAGCTCAGAACAAAGAAACTCAAGGAGAATACCACGAGACGAACTTGACATTAAAACATGCAGAATAAATATGTTTTGTAGATTCATAAAAAAAATCTTCCTCTAAAGAAAAACAATATAAGTTTCATATATATAAATGTTAAAACCAGTGCTTAGAATCCAATTAATTTTTTCCTGTGCGGATCCGGATCCGCACTGGAAAAAAAATGTATCCGGATCCGGATCTGGGTCATTTCTTTAAGATTTACTGATTTCAGATTTAGGTTATAGGAGTAAAAAAGTTTTTTTTGCAGTTTTTGGTTGATATTTTACCCTTGGATCCGGATCCGTGGATTCGCATATTTTTGCGGATGGATCCGGATCCAGGAAACCAAAACCTTGCGGATTCAACGGAACAAAACGGCCTAAAGAAAAGTGGAAAGAATATTAGGGCTTATATTTGTTTCACAAATAAAATGTAAATATAACATTTTTGACTTGAAAATTGAAAATTAAACATTATTTCAAAGAACCGCTTTTACTCTTAAATTAATTAAAATATACCTCAAGGCAGTGCTTAGGACCCGGATCCATTGGATCCGCAAGATTTTGGCTTCCTGGATCCGGATACGCAAAAATATGCGGATTCACGGATCCGGACCCCAGGGGTAAACTATCCATCAAAGAATGCAAAAAAAAAATTTTTACTCCTAAAACCAAAATCTGAACTGAAAAAAGAGAGATTATAAAAATTTCCTAATTTATAAATGGTTCATCAAGCTTAGTTTTAGGATAAAAAAGCGAAAAAAAATGAAAAAAAATTTGAAAATTATTTTTTGTTAAAAAATTAGGAAATCTTAAAGAAATGACCTGGATCCGGATCCAGATTCGGATCCAAAATCCATTTTTTCCGGTGCGGATCCAGGATCCGGATCCGCATCAAAATTAAATGGATCCTAAGCACTGCCTCAGGGATGTGTTTTCTCGGAAAATCATTCCTTCCCCCTTTGAAACTCATTTTATCCCCAGAGAAGTTATGTATAAAAAAATGATATAAAATAGATGAAAATAAATTAGTTTTGGACTAAAATGTATCAGAAAAATATCGAATAAAAAACTTGTGTGTTAATGTCCAATTTGTCACGATAAAAAATCATTCTAACCAGGGGGGGGGGGACTTTTAAATATATACAGTATACACCCCTTTAATACCTAGAATTAAATCTGTCAGAAACATCTCCTTCGGTGAGATCTCTATACGGGCATCCTAGTTCTCGCAGGAAAGCTGACAGCTCCATTTTCCATTCCTGAGTAAACACACATTTAAAATTTAATTCTTTTTCTTACAGTGGTAGGCGATAATCAATACAGTGAAGACGATTTTTTATTTAGGTTTTGATTGTTCACAAGCTTTATTTGAATTAAAAGTAATCAAAGCTTTTTTGATCGTCATCTTCTCTTTGGTTACTTGTTTGTGTGTATACATGTTGTTAAACAGGAGTCGGAGAAAAATAAGAAAAAACCTAACATATTATCTACTAAGGCTGTAGATACAAGCCACGATAGTTAGGGTTTCACGGCTTCAGCTACTACCACTCGGGCATAACAGTATCATTGCACATATCATGCTAACTCTGTGACCCACGTACTCCTCAGGGAGGCAGAGGGTTTCAGGGAGGGGTGGTTTCCTGGTAACATTCGTGTTATTGGGTTGTTATAATAGATAGATAGATAGCTTGATATGAATCAAAATTGAAATCGAAAGTAGCCATCTTTGTATTGATATAATCGCCTACCACTGTGTTATAATAAATGTAGGGTAAATGCAGACGTGTTTTCAATTGACCTTTTATGTATGATTTACAATTTGAACCTATAACAAAGTAATTAACGAATAATGTGTAGGATTTTGATAAATTCCTTCATTGTCTCTGCAGCATATTACCTTAAGTAAGTTTTAAAGAAAACCCAATTTCAAGATTATCCAATTTTTTAGAAAACACAAGAGTATCTAATATTTGATCAGAAAAGGTTTAGAGGTATCGTTGTTAATCTAGTACATAGTACATATCTACATAGTACATAGTACATATATAGTACATAGTACATATCTGTATGAATAAAGATTTCCTTAAAATTAAGTCTACAGTCTCTTTCAATCATCAATCAAATCATAAGTTGCAGGGATGACCTAAGGCTCTGTAGTGGATAGGAGTTTCAAGTCCTTTCCATTCCTGGTTTTTCAGCGCGGCCTTCTGTTTATAAGGTAAATATACATTTAATGCTACTTTTTGTTTACTTTGTAATTGAGAAGCGCCCAGCCAAACGACCAAATTTGAGCCACGCCCCACTTTAGAATACCTAACATCCAAGGATTGCTACACAGTTTATCAAGTTTGGATTCTGGGTATTTCCCTCGCGAGTTTTACCGTTTTTGTTAAGTTGTTTAATCCAGTTAAAGTTAATGATCTCCATTTCAAGTTACTCATTAAAAGAATTGAATATTTAACTTTTTGTGACTTTTAGATTAGCATTGATGTGATGTCTATTTTTTAGTGCTTTTAATTTAAAAGCCCGGATCATTATTTGATTGGAGAAAATATTTCTGCGATCTTATCTCAAAACATGTTTGGCGTTTAGACTCGAAACAAAGAATAATGTAATGGTGGAATTGAAAATGAATTTTAAAACCTGTTCGTCATTGTTTTTAATGTTTCCAACTTGCTCCTCCAGTGCGTAGAGTAACCTAGCAAGTAGAGATTAAAGAAATGGATTAAATACGCAAATCAAAAAGCATTAAATTATTATGTGTAATTTCAGAGGGGGGGGGGGTTTAACTTTTCACTTTCTTCCCCTCATTTAATTAGCNCCCCCCCCCCCTCCTGTAAATTTTGACCATGACCATTATTATTTTTGAAAATAATTAACAATCTTGTTTTGTAATGTGTAGTGTTAGGTTAGGTTAAGACAATTTTGGGGCCGATCGCTGCGGCTAGGACAGGCTAACAGGGGGCAGATCGACGAGGCTAGGAGTGTCTGAGGAGTCAAAAAGCGTTCTCGTGAAGATTACCATCAGTTTTTTAAAAGAGGTGGGAGGGGGGGGAGGTTCTGCAACATTATTTTTCTACCTAATCTCAGAAGTAAGATAGATGACTACATCAATAAACTCCTGATTAGTCAGTCCAGCTTCAATACATTTCTCAATATCTGCACCCTAATTTAAAACAATTAATAACAAGTGATTTCGATATTTATTAATATGTTTTTAAACCTTAGTATAAGCGAGGTCCTCTAAAGCATTTTTAATTTCTCCAACATTCAGAACGATGTCTTCGCCCATTCTTATTCTAAACAAAGCTTTATAAAAAATTTGATAATCCGATTAGGCAAAAGTTGCGCTACAGTTTTAAAGCCGAATGATCTCAATTGATGGGGTCTGTCCTAGAGAAGATTTCTGGACATCCCCCCCCCCCCCTCTCCTATCAATTTAGTCCATGACCACTTATTTTTCAGCAAAATTATTATATTATTAGGTTAACTTAAGACAATTTTCGGACCGAGCGCTGCGTCTAGGAAAGGCTATGGGACCGAGCCGCAGCGCTCGTCCCAGAAAGTGTCTTAACATAACTTTACCCTAAATAAATACTAATTTTATTGAAAATTGTTGAGGTGGTCATGTACAAAATTGATAGGAGGGGGAAGGGGAGGCGAGGGTTTGCAAAAATCGTATGTTAGTAAATTACCGTGATAACAATATTCAATATGTGCTTTCAAATATTAAAACTAATTAAAAAAATGATAAGAAACAGAATAAAATTATACACAAATGATATGATTTTGTAAACATAAGTAGCGCAAGAAAACCGCGGTGAAATTTTATAATAAAAGACGACAATTAACTTTAGCTGTCGTATCAATAGAACTACTGGTGTTAGTTAGGGTTTCACGGCTTCAGCTACTACCACTCGGGCATAACAGTATCATTGCACATATCTTGCTAACTCTGTGACCATGATGGTATTAGCTGAGTAGGAGTTCAAATCTACTGTAAAGATAGATAGGTTTAATTTGTAATATCTCTAGAGCTAAGGTTTATTATCTAGATAGATACCTGAGTAGTAGCGCAAGAAAACCGCGGTGAAATTTTATAATAAAAGACGACAATTAACTTTAGCTGTCGTATCAATAGAACTACTGGTGTCCTGCATGAAGCGGACTCCTGCATGGGGCGGACTCCCCTTAAAAATGTTTACCTTTTCATTTTTCAACACAATGTTAGACACAAAAAGCAATCTTATGACATTTTCAGATATTTATTAATGCATTTTGAGGGGATTGCAAAAGAATTTTTAAAAAATCCAACATTTTTCACGAATATAACTACAAAGAAATCTAGGTCGTAATTTCTTTTTGTACTACATCCATAGATTCGTTTGCATGGCATGAAACCGAAACTTTCCAAATTCACTGAAGACGATATTTGGGAATGGTGTGCGGCAATTTCTGCATTATTGAGCATTTCAATATTTTGTTTGTTTAATATCCTGTGTTTTGATATTTTTTCATCACTCTACTTACAAGCCGCTATCTAAAAATAATTCGTTTTTTTATTCATAACAACAAAGACAGAAATGAATTGATTTTACACAAAATGGTTGGAATAACATCAGCTTGGTTGGGGAAAGGTTTTAAATCTGCAGCTGCCCGCCGGTATGACCAAGGATGGATAGATCGTATCCGCCTGTATGTTCGAGGCGGAAGTGGCGGAAATGGATTACCTAAAGTGGGTGGAATAGGCGGGAACGGTGGAAGTGTCATCATCAAGGCTTCAGACACGGTAAATTATTTTAACATCTTTTAATAATTCCATTTTTATTATAGATTTTTACTGTAATTTTGTTCAATAAAAGTCGGAAAGAGAGATATTTTAATAAGTTAACTAAAAAGTTTATTTTCTAGGTTAAAAGTTTGAAATTAATTGCACAGAAGAATCCAAACAAAAGATTTATTGGAGGTGACGGTGGACATTCAAGGTATAACAATCACTGAATTCTATTTTATAAGTTCTCCTAATCGCTGATCTCTAGTCAGTCTATCTCTTAATCTTGAAAAATTATCAAAAATTTATTAAGTTGGTTGTATTTATCTCAAAACATTTACGTTCGCTAATTTCCTAATATACGATTTTTGGACCCGCCCACCCCCCTTCTATTTTAGTTTGTACATGGATCTTATATGTAAGACATGGATATAATTGACCACGAGGCCGGAGCGCCCGACCCACTAGCCTGTCCTATCCCCGGCGCTCGGCCCCCTAGCCTGTCCTAGCCGCAGCGATAGGGGCCCCAAGCCTGTTTTAGCCGCAGCGCCTGACTAAATTACATTTGTGAATAGAATTGTTTTTGTAAATGTGTTCGTTTAAAAACTAGGGGGTTTTCTAAAATTGCATTATTTCAAAAAAGGAGATAATGGATTGTCTTAAAACAATATTCTATGAAATTGAAAAGACTGACTAATCTTAATTAATAGCTGCAGTTTTATATTGATTAAATAGATTCAGCTTGTGGACAGTTTTTTATTACATTTTATTTTTTAATTTAATAAATTTGATATGAATGCATTTCTTATTTTTAGAACAGTTCGTCTGCTAGGTGAGTCTGGTTCTAACGTTGAGGTTAATGTACCTGTTGGTGTTACCGTTGTCTCCGAACATGGCCGGGTTCTTGCAGATCTTTGCAAACACGGTGAAACTGCTGTTGTTGCGAAAGGTAAGAATAAAATTTTATAAAGTAAATTATATTTGAACCCCTGCCCCTCTCTTCCTATCATTTTTATAAATTTATCATATACGTAACACATGTGTATTGTTGCACATGTGGCCGCAGTGCTCGGTCCCTAGCTTGTTCTAGCCGCAGTGCACTGCCAAGAAGTTGTCCTGACCAAACCCTGAAAAAGTACTCGGCGCGTACAAAAATTAAAATGGAGGGGGGGGGGGGCAAAAGTTTTTCATTAGGACTGAACCTTAAGAAGCTATTTTATTATATTTATATTTTCAATTTTCATAAAAAAAAATAACCCTCATCTCTTTTTGCAAATTTTTTAGAATTGGTTGCGCAGATTAAAAATTTTTTTTCGCTTTTTGCATTGTCTGTACACAAAAAATCCTCAAATTAAACTGCTGTTTTGTTTAATAATTACCACCTCTTCTGAAATCTCTTATACTTGAAACTTAAAATCTTAAAATTTCAGGAGGAATGGGTGGAATGCCTTCTACAGACTTCCTTGGATCTCACGGAGAAAGACAATCTATTCAACTTGATTTAAAACTGATCGGAGACGTCGGATTCGTTGGATTTCCAAATGCGGGAAAAAGCACACTTCTGAAAGCTCTATCGCGCGCCAGTCCCAAAATCGCAAGTTACCCTTTTACAACAATTCGACCAAATTTGGGTATTTGTGAATTCGAAGATTTACGCAGAATAACTTTCGCAGATTTGCCTGGACTGATAGAAGGAGCACACAAAAACCTCGGGATGGGGCATTCCTTCTTAAAACATGTTGAAAGAACCCGAGCTCTTATGTTTGTTGTTGACATCAACGGATTCCAACTTAACTCAACATCTCCTCTTCGCTCTGCACTTCAAACTATTTTAATATTAAATCGCGAACTTGAACTTTATCGCGAAGATTTGCTCGATAAACCGGCCAGTTGTGTCATCTCGAAGATGGATTCCAAGAATGCCGGGGTTAGTTTCGAAAAACTTAAATCTGAACTCGAGAATCTCGAGGAAATAATGCACGATGTTGTCGACGAGGAATTTCGACCTGAAAGACTTATTCGATTTTCGGACGTTATTCCGGTTTCAGCAAAATTTTCTCCCAAAACCATTGAATTTCTTAAATATCGGGTTCGAAACATTATTGACTCGGCCGAGGATGAATCAAATTCATCTTTTATCGAGGCATTGTAACAAAAAGTTGATTTTAAACTGAGCAAAAAATCCAAAATTGTTTGATTTCAGATGTTCTAGAATTGTAGAATGGCTCTGGGGATGGATCTGATCTCTAGGCGGAGGTTAAAGCCTCGGCTAGGACCTCCTGATGTATATCCTCAGGTAGGTCTCCCCCCTATATACTTTGCTTGTCTGTCTGTCAATTTGTATCCAATGAACGTCAAAACGGCTGAACCGATCGGGCCCTCATATGACTCCCGGGAAAGTTCATGGATGCTAAAAATTACAAAAATGTGTGTCCACAATTTTTTGATTTTTGTAAAATTACAAAAATTCTCGAAAACATATTATTAGATATGCGAACGTTTTTGTTCTAGTTTTATATTGTTCTATTTTATATATATTTATGATTCAGACATTTTAAATAATTCATGGATTCTGTGATGTTAACCCTGCAACATGGTTTAGAAGGATCAACCACAACAGAGTGACAAGAATGGCTAATGACCCTTTGAACTTGGAAATACAAAACTCCAGGACCAGTATCAGGAACAATTTCTTCAGCTTGAGAATTCCAAGAAAATGTAACTCTATCCCACAAGAAGTTAAACAGTCAACTACAGTGAATATCTTCAAGAGAAGCTATGATAAATTCAGACAGTATCCGTGAGATGCTGATGCAAGATTACCAGTTACAAAGTCTATCAGAACCATCAGCAGCAACTCAAAGTCTTCAAAGACATCCTCATTATAACTCTACATGGGTTCCTGAGGATTATTCAACAATAAACAATAAACAATAAACAATATTGTCCAAAGAGAAGATGCTCACAGATAGAGCCACGATTAAAAATTGAAATAGAAGATGGCGGGTTTCTCCTTCACAACATTTTCAATTTAAAATTTAAATTTTAAAATTGTTAAAAACTTTTTTATATTTTTAATTGTTAAAACTTTTATTTATCTAGGATCCCAACCAGAAGGAGGACGACCTCTCCGGTGTGCACGTGAAGCAGGGGTTCAGCAACCACTACTCAAGTGTACAGGTAGCTAGTGCATTTAGTTGGTTCGTATTTAGGTAGTTTTTTGCCTCTATTTTTTTCAGGGTCCAAATTAGGCATAACGTAAGCAAAAGTTGTAAAAACTGTGTCCAAATTTAATGAATTTAAGTCGCGTCTCAAATCCCCCAAAAACTGGTTTCAATTAAGCGCCGACTTAAATCTTGAAACTGAAACCAACCATATTTGAGCCCCGGCTCAAATTCTTTAAATTCGGCCTCTGTTTATTTTAAACATTTGTTTTTCTCAAACTACGTCAGATGTTGACCCAGATAGAAGATAAATGCAATAAACGACCCAAAAACGATCCAGTACGAACGTGTTTTAGCGATCGTTATTCACCTTCGTTCGATGTTCGATTGTCTAACATTTTTTTAAGGATAAAGTTGAATAAAAGCAAACTTTAACTAAACACAGTTTTGAAATCTCGGTAGTTTTATTAATTTTTTATTTAAAAACGAACCAAAACGCTTAACAGCACCATGTACAGGATGAGTTCGGATCCTGCCTACAGAAGATGGCGGGGTTCAATCAGGCGAAAATATGGAAGAATTTCCAGGATGTTCTCGTCAAGAAGGAGGAAGTCAATACGTTTGCGGTGAGATTATTATTTCAGTTTGTGTTGTTTTAAAGCAGGCATTCCGTTGGACCTGGTTTTTTTTCAATCTGAATTTTTTCTAGATTGATCTGGATTCGATTCACTTTGTGCCAAACGTTTTCATTTCTTTCTTAGGGGGAGGGGGTGATTAAGTTTTGTCTTCACGATTTTGGAGAGGTGCTTCCTCACCTAGGCATCAAAGTTCTCCACAAAACTTTCTTTCTGAAAACTATCGTTGGACATTAAAAAATAAAACTTAGAAAATCAAAGTTTCAAAATATTTTCTATGGATTTTACTGATTCTAGTTTTGCATTTAGGAAATTAAGGATAAGAATAAACGGCAACCGATCAATATCAGAGACGATTTCTGGCTTGTTACAGCACAGAAGAAGAACTTGGTCGAAAAATATTTTAAGGTAAGAAATTTTTTAGTTTAGATTTTTTATGTCATCTTTTTTATTTTTACCCTTTCTGTGGTTTAAATCTATGATTTTAGATTTAACTCCTAGTTTTATTTGATTTATTGGGCAGCAAAAAAAAGTTTTCCTATTTTTTTCAAGTTTCCGTTTTTGCACGTTTTTTCCCCGTCAGGGTTTTTATTTTTATTATTCCTTGGCTTTTCTTTTGGTTTAAGTTTAATAAGGGATCTAATGGTTCAGATCTAGCCTGATTTTTTTATATTTCTGCTATCAGAACTGTTAAATTACGGTTTTTGAATCAAACAAAGATTTGAATAATTCTGGTTTTAAGGAACTTGCTGGAACGAAACCTCTCTCTGTTCTCGCGAAAAAGGTTCCAATCTTCAACCGCCGGGATGAAATTGTGCGAGCTCTTTGTGAGTTTGAGGTGCCGGTCAACCGTGGCGTCTGGCTCATTAAGATGACAGCAGCCTATGCTGCGGCTATGCAGGTAATTCAATCAATTTTGGTAAACAATATGATTATTTTTCCCCCAGTATCTACAAATTTTTAAGTGCTTTTTGAGTTGTTTTTTAAGGCCTGAATTGGGGAAAAGTTTATGAAATTAATGAAGTAAGCAAAGGGGGAAAGTTTTTAGCTGATGTCAAACATTTATTTCGAAAATTTTGTTAACTTTCTACTCTGTAATTTGATTCGTGTGAATTGCTGTTATCTTCTAAAAAAAATATTTTGGAATCCAAATCTTATAATTGCATATTTGTTTTAGGAGACAAATAAGACGAAGAAGAAGGTGAATATGGATCCTGGAGCAGAGTGGACTATTACACTCAAGCAGATGATCTTGGAGCAGAGGGAGCAGCTCCAACCCATATACACAGGTAGGGATCGGCTTTAACCTTTATACACAGGTAGGGAGCATTTTCATTCTTAATACATAGGTAGGGAGCAGTTTAAACATTTATACAAAGGTAAGCAGCATATTCAACCTATAAACGCAGGTTTGGAGCAGTTCTAAACTTTATAAAAAGATAGGGAGCAGTTCTAACCTTTCTACGCCGGTAGGGAGCAGTTCCATCCTTTAGACACAGGCAGGGAGTCGTTCCAATCTTGAAACAAAGGTTTGAAGCAGCTCCGATCAGTATACACAGTTAGGGACTAGTTCTAATCTTAAAACACAGGTGATGAGCAGCTCCTACCTGTATTCTCAGTTTGGGATCAGTCTTTATGTTGAGAAAGAAGCATTTTTACATCTTTACCTCTCTGTTTAGGAGCTGCTGTACCTGGAGGATTAGTGGATCCTGATCTTAAACCTGAAAACTCTTTACCTCTCAAACAGCTTCAATATACTCAGGAATACATCCAGATATTTACAATCAAGAGATTTATTAGCAAATCGCTTTTTTCATGAAGCTATTATTGCCTATCACCGGGCAGCATTCTCCCAAGCTCCCCCCCCCCTTCTTAGGGTCGGGTGTATATTTTTCAGAGTTACCCCTCCCCCTGCACTATGGCTGGGGATGATTTTTGATAATGTTTGATGATTTTTGATAATTTACGGGAAAAAAAATAAATATGGAACACAAGAGAAAAAATCTTTTAATTTAATTTCTGTCCAAAAATTAATTTTTCACCTAAAATTTTTTTCCTAATTTAGCGAATAAACCCTAAAAAAAAACATACCTGTGAAGGATGTATATCTACTAGGAGATGATGTTCTATATGTACCAGGAGGGTCTACTAGACAAACAGGACACATTACAGTCCATACTAGACATCGTAGAGAAAACTAAGGAAAATAATTATCAATTAATCAATCAATAAATCAATCAATATATCAATTAATCAATTAATCAATTAATCAATCAATAAATTAATCAATTATGACCCTCATACCACACTAAACTATTTAGGCTAATTCTTAGTCATTTTGTCTTGCGTGAAGCGTTACGTTTTAGTATTGCAGATAATTTTTCTACGTTTTTTCGTAATTGCGTTGATAAATAATATGTTAGTTGGCATCAACTGAGAAATCACAGTCTGGTCCAAGAAGAATATTTTTTGTCTTATTTTTGTTATATTTATATGTTTTAAAATCTACTTTTTTCAATTTTAAATATTTGATTGATTGATTGATTGATATTATGAAACTAGGCTCCTGATGAACCTCTGTTCAGACTCCTGATGCCAACTTTACTAAGGTGGGTAAATAAAAAAATAAAAAATAAGTATAAGTGGCATGTCTGATGTGCAATGGTACCTCTTATCCTAGTAAATCTGACAATTTTTTTCAAAAGGAATTTAGCGCGAATCCACAAGCCACATTTACAGAGAAACCATAATTGAAAATAATTAATTTTTCCGAGAGAAAAATACGGTTATCTCATTAATCCTTAATCAGAAAAAAGTTTTAAGTTTTCCATGGCCCAATTGGCCCAGTTCTAACCGTTATATCTAGGTACACCTCTGAGTTCTGTAAGACTGCCCTGCTGGCCCGCAAGCTAAGCTACCAGTGTGCACGGAAGATAACCCACCTAGTTCTAGAAACTGAAGCGTTCATGTCCGCACAAAATCCGCCCCACGAGAACGGAAATCTAAGTTCTCCCAGTAAAACTCCCACCATACCAGGTTAGGAATATAGAAGAATTGTTTATGCATATTTTGTCAACATTTAAAGAGATCAAAACTGTTGCGTTTTTAATCCGTATCTTATTTGATCATAAGATAATAATTTAAAGATTTATATATTAATTTAAAGATTAAGAAAATAATTTAAAGATTAACATAATAATTTTTGGACAACTCTAATGAGAGCTTAGTGTGGAAAAAATATTTATTGGTCAAAAGTTAATTATTTCTTGATAAATGTTTAAAAGGCCAAAGCAAATTATAAAATTCTTAAATTATTGATTTTAAATAATTTCAATAGAAAAAATGGGAATAAAAGATATATCACGATAGGTTTTGTAAATTACCAATAATATGAAAAAAATGAAATAATGAAAATTTTTAAAGGTGATGAAATAATATTGAGGTATTCTTTAAAGAAGACCTTGATAATTCCCTTTCCTTACACGGACTGAGCATTAAAGAATGAAATACAACATCCAGACTGTAAGAATAAGCATTCTCAACCGCTAGGAAGCGAACAATATTGAAAAAACCGTGAAATAACGAGAATTCTTACACGATAGGACTACTACTATTGAACTGATTATTTTTGAGGAGGACTCGGTTTAAATTTTTTATGGAATGAAAGTTTATTTTTATTTTTTTTATTTATGATATAATAAATGTTTGTGTCAGGAACTACCCAACCTCTTCCCCCTGTGCTGGCTGCCCTGATGGAACTCCAGAATGATCCACACAACCGTATCATCATCCTCACCTTGTCCTCCATCCTCCAGACCTGTGTCCTCGAATGCCCCACAGCTCTAGTCTGGAATCAAGGAACAGAGAACAAGACACATTCCTCTTTAGCAGGTAGATCAAGATTAAATAGGCTGTAGACCTAGTTTCTAGTGACCCTCTATTTTAAGGGTGCCATATCCGACTCACAACGGTACCCTCTAAGTTTAAACGTTAACCATGATGAATATATCGTCTTTTTTATTCAAAAAAGTGTTTAATTCCTTTTATTTCCTTCATCTGCAATTCACTGTAGAGAGAGACCAATACTGAAATAATCAATTTTTCTTCTGCAGTGAAACCCTTAATAACGAATACATCGAAAGAATTCATCAAATGTCGTATTCTTCACTTTCTGATAATGGAATGTTGCAGATATTTAGTTTTTTAATTAAATTATAATATGGAACTCTTTAAAAGTGTTCCCGCATATTCATGGCTATTTATTTATTTTCGCAAATACTGAAATTTACGTAATATAGTATAAAACTCATTGAAAAATTGTCAAGACGACATTTGATAAATTCTTCCGATGTATTCGTTATTAAGGGTTTCACTGTATGAAAACTAAGATATCTCATTTATAGAGAATAATTTTAAGGGTTCCATGACATACCACTCTGTAAATGGAGTTACTTGAAATTACGTCTACATCCCTTTTCCAATACTAAGATGTACAATGTTTATAATGCTTCTTGTTAACAAATATTAAAAAAAGGATTATTTAAATATAGCTTACTAAAGAAACAAGAGGAATTAATTATACTCACGAAACACCTCTAAACATAGGGAACTACTGTATGCGTGATTTCAAGTGAACTTCTATTTAAAGACGGATATCCCTGATTCACAACGGTACCATTTAAACCTTTGACTGTTTACCGAGGATAAAGAACTCTGTGTATAAATCTCTTAAATGCTGTGTAAAAATGTGTTTGCTCAAGGTGTAAAGTCTAAAATGTTATGAATTTGTCTAGGGTCTCCGCTTGATTATTTACCTAATATTGCGCCTAGCAGTCTACCGATGGCACCAAGAGCTGATAACCAGCAAATAAGGTAGGTTCATTTAAAATTCGGTGATGGTGATGGACCAAACCTCTGTAGAGTAGAAAAAGTAGATGTGTTAGTTCCACATTTATCGAAAATATATTTCGGTCTGGGTTGACCCTCATCAGTTCTAACGATATAATAACCATCAAAATAGATAAAAAAAAAAATTGTTAAAACCACAAGAAAATAAACTAACAAAAAAGATTATTTAAAAAAATTTGAGCTGTCAAATGGACATATGGTAGGTTCTTCAATCCACCTTCTGATTGTACATTACAGCGTTACCTACAAAAGATAAGACTAAAAGACGACCCAAAGCTATTGAAATATGACGATCTGATTGTTAGATTTTGATTCGAACATTTAATGATTTACTAAATGGTTTTGTTAAGAAATAAACTTGTTTTCTAATACATGGAAGCTTGGATGTATGATTAAATACCGTATAGTCGTCTCTGAAGTCTCATCCGTTGTGTTTAACCTTGTACGGTATTATCCATAAAATTGATGACTACTGTTAAATCCAAGTTATGATTTTAAATAGTCCAATGAACATGAAACACATCAATTGTGTAGTAAACAAACACTTACCCCTTTAACTTAATTGTTGATTTTGCTTTTGGTAAAACTGTTTGCTGTATTACGACATCAAATATACATAAGATTGCTTAAATGTTGTCTTCCTTTTCCAAACTTGTATGTGTTTCACTTTACTTGACAAATATTTTGATATTTTTCAATGCCAAATAATTTTTCTATCGAGGAAGTTGGCTGTTATTGCATTTTTGATTTTTACCATAACTATAGCACTGAAAATAGGAATATTGAATTAAGTTTTATTACCTATAAAAAAGATTAATTGTTACGGCAATCATTTAAACCATCATTTAAACCATCATTTAAACCATCATTTAAACCATCATTTAAACCATCATTTAAACCATCATTTAAACCATCATTTAAACCATCATTTAAACCATCATTTAAACCATCATTTAAACCATCATTTAAACCATCATTTAAACCATCATTTAAACCATCATTTAAACCATAATTTAAACCATCATTTAAAGATGAATCAATAATTATTAACTTATCCAACTTAAAGGACCGTGTCGTTGTAATTTCAAGTAAATGTGTTAAATTCTGCTAATTCCTACAAAGTTTACTGGCAGCAGAAACTACAATTAAAACTATCAGCTTTCAAAATTATTTAAACGTGAATATCTAATTCTTACTTGATAAAACTTTGAACATCAAATAGAAGTAAAAATTGTTAAACTTACTCACAGTGTAACAGTTTATCATCCTTGACACATTTTTGTTATGTTTAATTTATTTGTATTGTTTAGGGCGCGCATACGAGCAGCTGAACAGCATATTAAGGCGCGAAGCGCTGCTGCTGAATCTAGTTGGAACAGCTCGGACAGCAGTGGACAGACGGGTCTGTACGGGGTGGTTGGGAAGATACTCTCTGTGCTGGAGGAGCTGGATAAATATGTATTTGATAAACTGGATCCAAACACTAATTGTATAGATGTACTTGCTGCCAAAATATGGGGACCTTGTCAGCCGGGCCAAGCTGTCTCGTCACAGGTAAAAAAAATCGTTTTTATTTCCAAAAATTCATTTTTCAAAAAAAAAATTTAAATAACTAAATTCTAAGAAATGATTTTTATGAAATCTTTTCTGTAAAGTTAATCTCTTTTTTATTTTTCATATCAGAATTTTTTTATTAACCTAAAGCTAATAATGTTTTATTATATAGTTCAATCGAGCATTTTTTTATTAAACTAAAGCTAATAATGTTTTATTATATAGTTCAATCGAGCATTTTCAATAAAGAGTTTTTAGATATATAAAAATATCGAAATGGGTTTTTTTTTTTTTTAAGTGAAAGAATACTGCACATATATTTTCTTGGAACATTTTAAAGTTTTTTTTAATAAATAAATTTTTCAAATTTACTTATTTTGATTTGTTCAGGACTCTGCTGTTGTCAGTATACTCTGTGAATGGGCGGTTACCAACAACCGTAGCGGGGAACACAGGGCTTTTGTGGCAGCTAAACTTCTGGAGCTTAGGCAGATAGAACTACTCTGTCCAGAGGAGGAGGATAAAGAGGAGGGATTCTTTGTTGGAGGGAACCCTGTGTTCCAGGAGCTTCTGTTTAAGTTCCTTGAGACGGAGGCTCCTTTCTTTCTGTGTTCCAACCCTCCTGTGAAGAAGAAGCATGAGGTGGCCAACCTGATCCTTCTGTTCCATGAGTTGATGGCCCACGATGTGTTCTCTCATGATGCATACATGTGCTCTCTGATCTCTAGAGGAGATCTCAACAATGCTTTAATCCAGGAGAAGGTTGTTAAGGAAAAAGAGGATGCTGCAGATACTTCAGATGATCGGATAAACGACGAGCTGGGTGCTATTGCTAAGCAGATCTCAGAAACAAACAAGCTGGATGAATTTGAACCTGGAGATTCTGGGTTTAATCAGTCTTCACCAACAAGCTACTCAGAGGTTTGGAGGTACAACAGACATTGGCAGTACACATACCATTTCCCTATTCCTTTTCCTCACGAGGACTCTGCCAATCATGATATTAATCAGCGTCATGTGCTGCTCTACGGATCAGGGAGAGGAAGAGAGGAGAGTAGCAAAAACTGCAAGAAAATATCCAAAGAAATTTTAAAACTGTTTTGCAAAAGGTTTTCAATCGATGTGAATGAAGGGGGAAAGATAAAGAAGCATCATAAATCTGAGTTTATTTTTAGTGAAGTTGTGCAAAAATTTCAAGAACTATCATACTTTGATCAGCATTTTGTAACCAGTCAATGTGGACAAACTGTGATAGAAATGGTGCAAGCTTTCCATGCTTGTTCTGCAACATACCTCCCGGTCACGGAGCATGTTTCTTTCCTGTTTGACCTGGCTGGACAGGCATTAAATATTCAGTGTTTACTGGACTGGTGTATACAGCTACTCAAGGAACTACCTCTTGTTGAATCTCAGCTTATCGAACGGGGCTCGGTTCTAACCCGGACCTATACTACCGGACTGTCACTGTATATTGTGGGAGTTCTTCGTAGATATCACTCTGTTCTAATTCTAACAGAGACTGATGTGAAGTCTGCCTGGGAGTCCCTGGTAAAGATTTCCTACCGTCACAGTAATGTACCGCAAGAATCGCCCCGACATGATGGTAGCGGGGTAAGACGACCTCCGCCCAACTTGGACTGTAACTCTGCTGAGTGGTGTATCATGGGATATCTGTTTGATCTTGCAGCTGCTTGTCCTTCCCTACTCAAGTCAAGTGACAAGTACCCAGTTCTTAAACGATTGTTCAACCAGTCTAATGAACCTGCAAGATCTGACTATGCTATCAGTGAACAGTTTAAAGAGATGATCAATCCCTACATACTTCAGCCAAAGAAAAAGGTTGATCCTTTAATTGTTAGATATTTACATGAAAAGCCAGAACATCAGTATACTTTGGTCTGTTGTGTGCTTGCTGCTGTTATTAATGGACAGCTGGATACAGACAGGCTGAATGATCTAGCTATCCTCTGTTGTGAGTTGACAGCTCAGTGTAGCACACTCTCTCAGGAGTGGTTGGGTGCGCTTTACACTCTTTGCTGTGCAGACAAACAGAGTTATGGTTCTCTTCATGCTCAAGTAAACTTTAGAGATTATTCTTTTCATGCTTCCCTTGGAATATTTGTCTGTATCCTCATTGCCAGACAATGCTTCTCTCTACAATCTGTTGTACTCCGTGTTATTACTGGAGCTCTGGTTAAACCCTGGAACTATGGGGATAGTGAGGGTCATCCTGCTATTGAATCTGAAGCAGGTGCTCGCCTTGCTCTTCATCTTCTTCTTAAACTATTCAGATCTGTTGAATGCTTCCAACCTGGGTTTTATTCTATTGCATCTCCAAGATCAGTTCCTGTCTCTGCTCATGATACTGGAATCAAGTTCTCCTGTGACCGACATCTGTTGGCAGCAACACATGCTAATATCAGCTCTGGTATAGAGGTTGGGGCCATCATTGCTGTACTCAAAGCTGTTCTTCTCCTTGGAGATTCTGCTCCTAGAATCAGTACAGAGAGAATACCAAACTTCCTTAGTAGTGGGTTTAATGAGGAAGATTTAGCAACTATGAGTGCTAGTGGCCGGGATGGAATAAGCCTGGGAGATCTTGCATTTATTACATTAAAACAAATATGTTCTCAGGAATGGGTTCGGGATATATGTCTCCAGGTTCCAGATGATCTGTGTAAACCTGGATATCTTCTGGATAATCTACTCTCACCACAGCAAACCTTGAGCTTGCTCAGGCTGATTTGTCATACAAACAAGGATGATAATGCATCCCTTGGGAAAGCAAGGCATCAGGAGACCAGCAGAGTCATCTCAAATCTTATCAGGGATCTAGATGAATGGTCTTTGCGAGCAAGTATTATAGATATCAAGCTCATGTATCGCTTGGAGAGTAAAAATGGAGAGGTTGGTACATGGTTAGAAAATGTATCAAGGTGTGTGGTAGAATCCTTTAAACTTGGGGAGAATGATGGAAACCGTAATGACAAGGATGATAAAGATGATTCAGATTCTGGAGAACCTGATTCAAAGAAGAGAAAATTGGACTTGATCAAGTCAGATTCCAAACTACGGAGACGACGATTTGGTCCAATCTGGATGATTCCTCATTTGATAAAAAGTTTAAAGTTTCTGCAAACTAAGATATTGCAGGTTTCAGGACGGGTTCTGGAGAGTGGAAACTGGTCTCGGTGTGCTAAATCTAGAATATCTGTTGGTCATCAACCCTTTCTTCAGCTTGTCCTCACAAGCCTCAGAGAACTAGAATCTTTAAATGATGGGAAAGGACGTCCTTCTGAGGATAGAGAGCAGGTTCGAGAACAGTTACTTCAATCTCTTCATGAACAGCTATCAACCTTTCTCTGCTTTACCTCTGAGGAGAAGGTTTACAACTATGAGGATCCAACTGCTAGGAAAACAATGCAGGATGCTCTGCAGCTCCGCTGTTCACTACTGGGAGGAATGTTTGATTCAATAACCAATAATTTCCAATCTGTCCAGGACTGGTCTGTTCTCCTGGTGCAGATAGTGGTTCGTGGAGTTATAGATCTAACCAACAACTCTGACCTTTACTGCTCTGTGTTAGATATGTTGAGTTCTCTGATCCATGCATCTTGTGTCATTGACAAAGAAACCAGTAGTTCAGACAGAGTGGAGGAGAATAAAAGACACTACCTTCTCCTTGTGAAACGGATTAAAAAAGAAATTGGAGATAAACAGAGTCCTAGCATCAAGTTTTTACGACAGCTCCTTCCCTTTCCTAAACAGAGTGAAGAGGTGATAGTTACTGAACAGTTTGGTTTAGTACCGGATAGTAAGGGAGCTAAGGTGCGAGGGTTTAACTGTGACAAGAAACAAGGATTGCAGGTTTCTGAGAAACAGAAGATAAGTCCCTGGGATATCCTGGAGGGGTTCAAGAACCCTGCTCCGCTCTCCTTTCATTGGTTCCAGGCTGTTAAGACAGAAAGGAAACCAATGAAATATGAAGAAGCATTTTCAGCCATGAAGTATATGAAAAATAATTTTATCAAATCTCCGTCTCATTATCTAGACCCTCCTCCCCTACCTCTAGAGGACCTTGAGCCCAGCAAGGACTGCAAGGAGGATGATAAGAACGACATGAACAAGATGAAGAACGAAGATATGATGGACCCAATGAACCAGATGAACGGGGTTGGACGGGGCAAGGCTATAAAACGAAGGGGACAGATGAGAATGATGTCCCCCACTGGATCTGGAATGGCAGGTGGTATGGGCCCAGGAATGATGACTGCTGGTGCACCAGGAATGTATGGTCCAGGACCCAACACTTATCCCGGACCAATGGGCCATGAGAACATGAACTACAACCCAAACATGGGCCAGGTTAATGTTAACCCTCAGCAGATGAACTATAACAACATGGGATACGGAATGACTGGGAATGCCTCAGCAGTTGGTATGGGCGGCGGAGGTATGCAAAACATTCCTGGCTCTAGGTTCCCTAGCCCCGGCATGCCGCAAACCAAGCAAGCTCTGCAGAACATGCTGCGATCACGAACTACTCCGGGTGGTCAGTTTGTACCTGGAGTCCCATCTCAACCTCCTATGGGAGGAATGATGCGCCCGTCTGGACAATATCCAGCAATGATGCAAAATTCCCAACCAATGAGCAATATCAACCGTCCTATGTACTCTGGAGGGCAGATGGGTGGTATGAACCCTAGTTATGGGATGCAGGGAAGCCAGAACTATGTTGGATATGGAGCAACTAGACCTCAGATTGGGATGAATAACAGTGGGGACTATATAGGTATATGTGTTTATTAAAATCTTGAAGTAATCATAAACAATTCAAGTCTTTAATCTAAACCGAAAATAGTCCAATAATTGGTATTTTTTATTTGTCATTACGTGACTTTATTAAAAAAAGGAATAATTACAAATACGTATTTTGTATTTTTTTAAATCCTATAACATGAAAAGAACCATTTTTAGTATTAGTTTTCATAAAAATCACAAAACTTAAAAAAAGGAAATCCGCTGCTGTCAAAAAATTAAATAAATATTTTCTTCTCCGTTAAATTTTGAATATTTTATGACGTCTGTTCTTTATTTAAGTTGAAAATTATTTTTATTAAATTTAAATTACCTTTTTCAAATTGAATCAGAATATTGAGTTTTTTTGTTAGTTTGAAACTAGGTATTAATACCAATATATTAAACCTATTTTAAAATTTAAGCAATAGAGTGTAATGTTGTTAAAATAATATTTTTAGGTCAATCTATGGGAGGCATGAGACCTTCTGGTCAGTATATTATGACCGGGCAGCCTGGGATGCGTATGCCCGGGATGGTGATGTCAAGATCGGGCATGATTGGTGGGTCTGCAGGGTACGGCATGGGTTCTGCAGTACCGAGCCAGGGTTCCTACCCTATGCAGAGCGGGATGGGCATGAGTGGGATGAGTGCCCGCCCCGGGATGATGCCGCCCAGCATGAGGAGCGGTGGAGGACCGGGCATGATGCCCGGTATGCCCGGCAGTTCAGGGATGGGAATGCAAGGTCAAGGTGGGATAATGCAGGGAGGAGGAATGGGAATGCAGAGTGGAGGGATGGGAATGGGAGGAATGCAACAACAACAGCAACCTGGTGGTAGTAGCCAACTCATGGCACATCTACAGCGGGGGAACAGTATGTCACAACAACCGGGGAATCCATATCAACAACAACCAAGATATTGATAAAACCTTAATTAACATTTAAGATAAACTATGGTGGGGAGGGGGGGGGATACTTTGCTTAAAGTATGCAAAGTTTCTAAAGATTATTTGGAAAAATTATTAATGTGTTTATTTCACCTATTGTATTGAGGATCATGATTCTTTGACTATAGGTTGAATGTTAATAATAATAATAATACAGTTCATTTTTAATTATTATTAGATTACAATATATTGTAACTTGTACGGCTTAATATTGTTAGTATGTAATTACAAATATACAAAAAAAGATTGATTTTTCACAGGATTTATTCATGTTTTTACCCATGTGAAGTGTCAAGAATGTAATACAAGTAAAGTTAATTACAGTTGCGTATAATCTGCGTACATATTGAAACCAGTTCCCTCTGGGCGGAATCCAGGGAGTAAGGAATAGAAGGGAGATATAACTGACGCGGTTAGCCCTACCATATGATTAAGCGTGCTTTGCAGACGGGTACTCTATTTGTATAAAACATATTCAAAATAGGTTATTGTATACGCGGTAATTGTACATCAGACAAACATTTATTATACAAAATCAGTACCGTCTGCAAAGCATGTATAATCATATGGTAGGGCGAACCGCGTCACTTATATCTCCCTTCTATTCTTTACTCCCTGGGTGAATCTCTAAACAAGAATGGGTGCATCAGTGTTCGTTTAGTATCCGAGGAGGTTAAAAGCATTTAATTTTGATAATTTGGATAATTCACAATAGTTTCCTATGACCAGAATATTTCATTGATTATTTATGTGAAAGATGATCCCATGTCAGGCTTCGACATCCGTCTTGTGTTTACATTACCGCCCAGTGACAGTACACTGCAGTACAAAAGATGCGTACACCTAATGCATTTCATGCATTTTTGCATCTTTTTCATTTCATTCATGGTTGTGAACCAGTCAAATGTAAATTGAAGTGCTCCTTTGCATCTTTCTCAAAGAAGGCGGCTGGTCCGCCCTCAAAAAGTTTTTAATAAAAATCCCATTTTGTTTGTTTAAATTGGAGATTTTAAAATTGGTTTTTTGAATTTCCTCACGATCTTGTTCCTTTTCAACAATTTTTGATTATAATTCTTATTTTTTTTATTTTTTTACATTTCTTTTATTTCTATTTTAGTGGTTTTTTAATTTTCGTACAAATAAACCAATGTTAAATAGGATAATATTGTTAATCAAAATCATTAATTTCTTCTCACCAAACTCTAGGACGGCCATTTTAGGTATATTTTAGCGGAGAATTTAAATTATATAATATGAATTATCCTGGAAAAGTGGTTTAATTGTGATAGCTGGTTAGGGCTTTTGTCGCTGGTGCAGAGGATGTGGGTCTACAGAGGTATCCAGGAGCTGAAGTTCTTGATCGACCAGGGTCCTAAGCGATGTGATGTGTACTCAGTATACTTATTATTTGGAGGAAGATTGTTTTTAAATTAATGATCATGAAATACCCTTAGTTCTGGTCGTTCTGGCCTTTCCAAAATGAAGTTTTTTTTTGCTGCCAAATTTACCATGTCCACAGTGGATAAAGAGAATCGGGATTAAGAGTCTTCAGCTCATTTAAAACAATTATGGTTTTATTTAATACATTGAAATTGAAACAAAATTCTTATTTTCTTCTGTAACATTGTTTGCACAAAAAAAAAACAACTAAGATAATTATGTTGATATCTGAGAAAGGACATTTTGGCAGAGTGACAAATCTAGTTTCTAGTTCAAATCCTGTAGTTGTGCAGAGTAGAGTATATACATTCGGCAGTGTCCTTTATACAAAGAAATACGTATTCGGATAAACAGGGTTTCCCTGAAGGGATAAGACTGCAGAGACGACTGTACGTAATTCAAACTGCGTGTTTCCTTATAATCATGATTCCAACCATAATAAACTTTTTTTTGCCAAATCGTTAAACGAGCAAAAAACCTTTTAAGAGAGAAGATGCAGTTCAATCCTGGAATTGTAATATTTTAAGAGCTTAAGGTCGTCTTCACAGTCTCATCTTTTGTTGGCAACCCTGTATTAACTAGAGAAAGAGTAGATGTTGGGTAGTTTTCTTTGGGAACGACTTCAATAGCACCCTTGCCCCCCCCCCTCTTACGAAATACCACAGATATCCTTCAAGGGGTCCGCGAGGTGTGCCCCCTTCCCCCCATAATTTTCTTGGAAAAGATAAGTTTAGGGGAGCAAATGGAAAAAATCATTTTGCCTTTATAAAAAGACACAAAATTTTAACAAATTTTAGCATAACATCCATAAAGATAATATTTTTCTTAATCCTTCAACTCACACAAAATACACAACAAGTATGGACAGACCTAGTTTTTAGATGTAAAATACAACAAAAATGGTGAAAAACGAAAAAGGTAGATTACCGCAAACAGAAATCTCAGGAAAACATCAGAAAGAGGAATTCAAAAATGGTTCTGAAACTAAAGAAGAGAAGAAAACTCCGAATACGGAGGAAAATATAAAAAATAAGGAAACAGAAAAAAATCCACATCTGACAAAACTTGAGGACTGGATTGAATCCCACTCCCAGGTATGCGAACATGGGTATCTATATATTTATTTTTTCTTTTCGAAAGTTAATGGCCTGGTACATATGTACATGTTGTACAATGATGTAAGTACATGTTGGACAATGATGTATGTACATGTTGTACAATGATGTATTTACAATGATGTATGTACATGTTGGACAATGATGTATGTATATGTTTTACAATGATGTATGTACATGTTGTTCAATGATGTATGTACATGTTGTACAATGATGTATTTACAATGATGTATGTACATGTTGGACAATGATGTATGTATATGTTTTACAATGATGTATGTACATGTTGTACAATGATGAATGTACAACGATGTATGTACATGTTGTACAATGATGTATGAACATGATTTCCAGATACTAGTTGACCCCTGGACTGAGCCTGACTGTTGTAGCTTGGAATATCAGCTTGCCACCAAACCACAGATTAATCAAGGAAGATACATAATTCAACTGTTTAAAAATAATTAAATAATTATCAATTGCGTGAATTTTATAAATAATTTTTTAGTTTTGAATAAATAAATCTACCTAATTTATGATTTAACTTCTTGTGTTCTAATATTATTGAACAAACTAATTTAAAGAAAATTTGCATAAAACCCATGGTAAACAAGCAAACCGGGTTTTCTGGCAAAATGAAATAAGCTATTTTTTAGAAGGTATATTTTGGTCCGTTTAAAACATTTAAGTTTTTTAACTTTTAGCTTTTAAGAGGCTTTCCAAGAATATGAGATGCTTGTCAAACAACAAGATTATAAAGTATAAGTTTACAAAAAATAAAACCAGAAAGATTATCCGTTTACCAATATATTTGGCCAGAGCTGAAAACTTTTGAATGGGATATCCTTAATCCCGATCGGTTATTTAATCTGGAGATTAATAACAAGAAGAGAACAAGCATTATTTAAACTGGAGATTAAGAAAAAGAGGAGATCAAGCATTGATCTCGATATCCACCATTCTAAAGTTTTTAGCTCTGAGTGAAAATGTTGCACAATGCAATAAAAGAAACATGTTTTGAAATATGATAAAGCTCTCAAATTCTTGTTGAGTAAAAGTCAGAACACGTTGAATGCTTAAACACGGAGCACACAACGATGCTTTTCCCAAACAGACTTATTTGAGCAGGAGAAAAAATTGTGAAACATTATTTTCGTTTGAAATAAGTGAACGATCCCTTTAACATTAAATTTAGGAATATTTATCCCAGATGGTGATGAAGGAGAAGAATCTGATCCTGGTATTATAGATCCAACCTTTGACAGGTGGGTCAATCTACTCGGACTCCATATACACATTCAACTCAACTAACGAGTCAAGGAAGAAGTCATCGGAAACCCCCTTTCACCTTTCATCGGAGACTCTATTTCATCGGAGTACGGAGAGTCACCATTTCTCATCGGAGACCTGCAAGCTTTTTATTGGAGATCCCCGACGTTTTTTTTGAGACTCCCAAATGTTCATCGGAGACCCCTAGATTTTCATTAGAGATGATTGAGATTAAAAAGCTTTGGGTATACAATACAAATCTGAGGGTCTAAGGTGAAAAACTTGGGGTCACCGATGAGGTTTTTAATGAAAATGAAAATTTATGGGGGTCTCCAAAAATCTTTGGATCTCCAATGAAATGGTTGTGGAGGCTCGATTAAAGATGTCTGCAATGATGATGATTTCTTTACAGACTCTCATCATCTTGAATCTTGTATCAAAATGACTTTGAAAAATGTAAAAAAAAATACTTTGAAAGCAAGACTTTAAAACTCGTACCTTGGGTCAAACGATCTTGAACATTAAAATAGTTCAAATTAACCAAAAATAGTCTAAATGAAATTTTGCCCGTTTGTCTCACTTTTTGACATATGTCGTTTTACTCTTTGTCATTTTACCCTTTGTCCCGTTTTGACCCTAGGTCGTTTGACCCTGTGTCGGTGAACCAACCAATTAAAATAACCTACTTTATAAATTGTGATTTTTATTTGTATTATCTCATGCATAATTCTCTTAAAGAGACGTTCGCAGCATTTTCTTGTGACCCTCCATGAGTCGACAGTTGTTGAAATATTTAATATTTTCCCCAAACTGATTTGGAGATTTGGAAATAAACTTTTACCAACGTTCACGATCTATATTTAGGGAGGATGAGGAGGAATCCACGTGGTCAGGACAATATAATAAGATGGGTCAACTTCATGGGTCTGGTATACTCAGGTTAGGACAGTATAATAAGATGGGTCAACTTCATGGGTCTGGTATACTCAGGTTAGGACAGAATAATAAGATGGGTCAACTTCATGGGTCTGGTATACTCAGGTTAGGACAGAATAATAAGATGGGTCAACTTCATGGGTCTGGTATACTCAGGTTAGGACAGTATAAGAAGTTAGATTAGGACAGTAAAATAAGTTTGATTAGGACAGTATAATAAGTTTGATTTCAATGTTTCAGGTTATATGATGGTGACACGTTCACCGGCAGCTATATAGATGGATTGCGGTCAGGTTGGGGCATAGTTACCAGCTCAGTAGCAGGAATATCATCTCTCACTGGGATTTGGGAGGACGGATATCTTCAAGGGAAAATAAGACTGGTAAGAACCAATTAAGATTAAATGGAAGGGGAAAATAATTTCAAGTGTTCTTCTATTTAAAGAGGAGCACCCACGATTCACAACGGTACCATTTAAGCCTTTCACTCTTGTATGACGATTCCATTAGCACCTGATCCAATCAGGGTTTAGCCATGTGCTTGTTGTCTATTCTGAACTAATAGAGATTGTAAGGCGTTAACATCTATCTTTCTATCTATCTCATTATCCAATTAGAGATAAATCCTTTGATCGGCGTTAAACAGTAAATGGAAATATTTACTTCTACTGAAACTGAAGTGCTTTGACTGATCAAGGATATTGGACATATCTCTTTTAATCTACTGAAATGTTTTGAATTGCAGAACACTTTGTTTGCAAGCTGTTTTATATTTAAGAAATATCAATAGGTACATTCTAAAAGTGGGAGATAATAGAATCTACTTTTTAGAGGAATTTAAACAGGTTTCGATATGTTCAAAGAGATAGTATTCTATTTGATGAACAGTCAAAGGTTTCAAGAGTACCGTTGTAAATTGGCATTGACCTACCTGCATGAAGGGTCACTTATAAAGACGCTTACAGTTCCTTTAAGCCGCTTACAGTATGTAACCTTAACTAATTATTAGTTCGCAGCTGATAACTTTTAAATGAAACTGTTTGAAATGAGCGAAGTTATACCTTTTTATCATTAGAAAAATTAATAATCAATAAATCATCAAATTCATCCTATAAAAGGTCAATATAATCACACATTTTAATACTAAATCGCTTAACTTGTTTGTTATAAAGGTTATAAAGCTTAACTCATATTGTTAATAAGTTTCCAGCTCCTCTGGTTAGGTTGATTTAATCAAATTTAGTTCTGATAGATTTTTAAAGTTTTTTATCTGTACTAGGTGACATCTGATACTTCAGTGGTAGAAGGGTGGTGTCGGTACAGTAAACTAAATGGTCCTGCTAGAACAATCATTATGAAAAAATTTAGGACATTTCGACAGCAGGTGAAATATTGCAATCGGACCTTTCCATATTATCATTGTTTTTTTAACATACATATTTGGAACAATTCTGATAAATTTTAACATACAGGGTGTCCCATATCATATAAGATCGTTAATCAGTCTAAATTATGTTTTTTTTGGGACTAATAATAAGAAATATTAAGGAGAATATATCATTTCGTAAAATTTAATAAGGCATAAATTTTTTCTTCCAGAAAATGTTAGGTTTTTCGAGTATTATGGGTTTATTTTGGCATTGAAGCTTGGAGATAGTCTAATATGATATGGGATACTCTGTACAATGACATTGAGTTCAAGGCTAGCGTTATTTTATCTGGAAACTAGGAAAAAGAACTGATTATTTATCTCAACCATTTATTTTCCAATCCTTAAATATTTACAACCTCATGTTGTAGTTAAGGTTTAAGATTAGGGATGTGAACGGTATCTTTTAAAAATCATTTTCCCCAAAAGTTATTTAACGTTTTTGGGAGGTTTATTTACTGATTTGGGACAAAATATATTATTTTTTGGGAAAATAATTGAATTTTTGCCATAAAAGTATCAAAAAGAATGACTAAAATTGCCTTTTTGGTGACCATTTTTATTATTTTCCCGCCAAATTATCAAAAATGATTTCGACTCTGAAAAATATACAGTATACACCCCTGTTTAAGGTTGCTGATATAAAGACGTTAAAAAAATCACGTCCTTAGCTCTAGACTAGACAAACATATTGCATAAGGTTACTCACAAAATGAAATACTTGTCTACATGCAACTATTTAACTTTTATCATCTATAGCTTACATTTGGGTTTTTGCATAATATAGTTTTATTATTAATATTATAAGTATTATTATTTTTATTTTGTTATTATTATTAAAATTTTAAATTTTTTTGAAAAAACATGAACCTGGTGCTCATAATAAATAAGGCAGGGCCTGAAGTGAAAATGAAATAGATTGGTTAACTCGTCTTATTGCATTTTTTTGAAAAATCTTTTTTAAATTTTTACAACTTATAGAGAACTTTTTTTTTAAATATGTTTAACAGCTGAAATCATTAGAGTACCTTTTAAAACCTAAACAATATTGAATTTAAAAAAAAAACAAGACATTCGTGGCTCATCCCTACCTTTATTGTAAAATGTACACTGTACAGGTGAGCTGGTTGGGCCGGTACAAGGATGGTGTACACTGGGGACAGTGCTGGCAGTGGGTGGAAGGTGGAGGCTATATTACAGGTTGATACAGGGTGTCAATAAAACATGACAATTTAAAGGGACTGTAAGCGTAATTTCAAGTTACCCTCTATGCAAAGATAGCAATGTCCGACTTACAAAGGTAGCTTTTAAACCTTAATATGTTCAAAAATGTTGAAGCTAATATAGTTTTTCTGAATAGGACAGTGTTTATTTCTGTGAATTTATCCATTCCTTTATAAAGGCAAGAAATTCGCATTTGCGCACGTCACTTTTGCAGAGAAACCACAAATGAAAATAAACAGTTTAAATAAGCTAAAACATGGATATCTAATTCATACTAAATCAGACAAAGTGTTGTTAATCGAGCATTGCCATCTTTGGAGGGTCACATAAATTACGCTTACAGTCCCTTTAAAGACGAAAGTATCATATTGAATATACTTGCTTAAAAAATATATGAAAAAACAGTAAACAGATCTTTGTTTTATGTGAAATGTTCCTTACAAGAATGTTTACTATGTAACAAAATGTCAAACCAACGCTCTTCTCGCGTTTTATTGTTTATAAATTGTCATTTTTTGGTGATACACTCTGTGCGCAAAGAAATTCAAAAAATCGTATTGCTATTGCATGTTAAACATGATAAAAACATTTTTACTTGTATTGTTTATCATTTTAGATAAAAGAAAATTTTACTGAACATTTTCTTGTTTTGTTTTCTATCTACAACTGGCGGATTTGGAAAAATCACACATAAGACAGAAATAACCTTTTTATATTTGATTCGTAACATTTTTTACTTTAAATATCAACTTTCCATCTCCATGAGTAAACAACATGTTTTAGAGTTCATATATTTCAACTGGGAGAAAATGTTTTGGGAGGGGGCTGAAATGCAATATAATGCGCCTGACGTATGTGGAGATGTAGACCTAAGGTTTTGCAAAGAATTTCACAAAGATTTTGCATAATCAAGCAGGCGGCAGTTTTGCTCATGTTTAAGTCTGATTCCAAGGCTAAATGAATTTTATGAAAAAGGTCGGGTAAACAGTAATGGTAAGATGACTGGTCCAGATATAGGATTCTTGTATCCTGACCTATACACAGCATTAGTCGGTCAGTTTGAAGATGGTCGAATGGTTAGAGCCTACCCTGCAGTCCTTGATACGGTTCAAATTGAGAACGATATCGCAGTGCCTCACTTCTCAAGGTATAATTATTAATTATAGGTTAAAAGGAGTGTTCGCGGAAAATAAAAGGGGGTATAGGCTTACGGCGAAAAATAATCGCTTTTGATTGCTATACTAGTCTTACTTCTATCTGTTGCGTCTATAAGGAGAAAATTGTTAATAATGACTTATATGAGAACGTAGCGTCCCTACAAATTCAGAAAGTTGCAATATACGACTCGGTTCGTAAAAAATCAATTTAATTTCAAACAAATCATTCAGATATTACAATCTATAGTCATCGATTATTTTTCGACGCACTCGTAAATAGTTAATATTTGATAATATGGTTTATTCGTTTTGTATACAATATGCCCTTAAAACGCCGAAATAGTTGGCCGCCAGATGTCTCTGCTCTCAATGCTTTGAATGATTACACGTGGCAGAGACACTTAAAGTCATTTTAAGTGCATTATATATAAAAACAAATAACAACTATTATGATATATTAACTATTATTTGACTGATTAAGTCTGAATTAAATATCAATGTTTACAATTTTGAAAACTGATTATTGTCAATTGTGATTTCTCTACAAAAGTACAAATTTGTCTTACAGAAAAAAAAAAAAATGAATTAATTATTAAATTTAAAGAGGTCTCAAGGTTACAGTGGTAAATCCGGCAAAGCAGGGAGGGTCACTTGAAATTTCGCATTCAGTCCCTTTAAAGAAAACGACTGTTTAGGCTGAGTAACCAGAGTGTACGGTACATGAAAAGTTGTAAAACTAATGTTGGTGACAACCCACTAATTGAAGATCCATATGAATCTAGAACTTGTCAGGTGTACTTTTCATTATATTTTACAAAACCCTAATATTGTTCCTTGTTCTGAATTAATATTTTAATTCAAAATTCCATGGTAATTTACCAATGTTCATTTCAGTGACTTGCGCAATGCGCATTTCTGCTTAGTAATTAATGAAGGGAATTTTCAGAATGATACACTTAAATCAAGCTAAAATACGACGATATTATTAAATCAAGCTAGAAAACGACAATATTATTAAATCAAGCTAGAAAACGACAATATTATTAAATCAAGCTAGAAAACGACAATATTATTAAATTTTTGAATTAGATTTTAAATTGAAAATTTGAAAATACAGTGACAGCCTCTTCATGACCTTTAGAAACAATGTTTGCTAGGGCGGAAGGCCTTAAAAATATGTGTTGGAAAATTCAGCGCGCGTGCACTATATTATATTAAATTATGCCAATTAATCATTTGAGCAGATTTGGGCTATTTTTTGCAGTTTTTTTACAGCTAAAAACTAAAAATAAGAAATCTCAAGGCAAAGTTCAGAGTTTATTTGGTCGGGATTCGATTTACTTATACAAATTTGACTATTTTTCATTTTCCTTGTTAAGTATGATTAAGTTTGTTGTTATTGGTAATTTGTTGTGCTAAACATTATTTTGTTTGATATGATGTTTATGCTTTTTTTACCTACCGTCCTACCAACTCGTCCACTCGTCCAGAATCCCCCACCCCCACTACAATAATTGATAAAAACCTAACCCATTTTTTCCATCATGAGGATTTATATTTTTTGTGACTCAAAGACATTAAATCTTCATGTAGTAAGCATTTGATTTATTTGATTTGATTTGATTTGATTTGATTTGATTTGATTTGATTTGATTTGATTTGATTTGATTTGATTTGATTTGTTTTGATTTGATTTGGTTTGATTTCAACAAGTCACGATGGGCCTAAGCACATTGTGATGAATATCGTGAAAAATCCTTATAAAAGACGACATTCTTAGTTCTCTTGTTCTAGGTGCTGACTAGTAAAGTTGAAGGAGGAGGAGAAGGATTGTATGCCAGAAGAAAAATCAAGGTAATATTCAAGTAGTTTAAAATATATATTTTTTACGTGTTTAATATTAATAAATATTATTGACATTTTAATGTTTGCTGGGGAAATGAAAAATAAGCAATAAAATGTTTTGAAGTTCTTGTAAAAACTGATCCAACAATTATAATTAGGAAAGGGAAATCGTTGCATTTTATAATGGAGTTCGTCTTCCATATTCACCAGGAGAAAAGGAGGATTGGGACACTTCAGGTAATAATAATATTAATAATAACGAGCTCAAGTGCCCGGCGTTGACCGTGGAATTTAAGAAGACTTTGAAAAAATTCAATTTGGTCTAACTCTTTGGTTAGTTAAAGCAAACCTTATTATATATTA